TCATAATGTACATCATGGGAACCCTGACCCCGAGGTGGACCCAGGAGGGGGCAAAGCATGAACGATCAGGGTCGAACTCATACAGACGGACGTACGGTGCATAGTGCAGGTTTGGCTGCATTCAACGACGGGGAAACGAAGCCTAGCATCCCGGACGGGCTCTGGACCACTGTCAGACAGGCCTGCCATGGAGAATATTCGGTATCACAGAGTATCTGTCACATTATGCACGGACAAACATTGCCGTGGAAGATCCACTCGATCAGCGAATCATGGGGACTCGATCTTGCCCGACGGGGAGGTTCTCGAGGAGGATCTCGGGCTCTTGATTTGTCGTGGGCGTGGATCGACACGGGGACCAGTTTAGGCGCAGCGCCGCCATGCCCTTGCATCAATAGTCGGCCACCGGAATGATACGATCTGGTTGAATTCTCCTAGCCCAGGTCTTCCGGTGGCCATGTGGAACTATGTGACTGTTTACAACGAAGATGAGGGGAACCTCCAGGTTCGTAAGAAGCAACCAGAAAAAGAAAAGAATTCAACCGACAAAACGGGCGTCAGAGAGTTCCATATCGAACTGCGCCATCCCCCGCTCCATTTGGATGGATCATAGAACAACACCATGGCCTTTCCTGATATTCAGGAGAAATTGCTCCTGTCAGCAGAATCAAGGGGCTTCCCGATGATTTTCCCCTTCGAGAAAAGGCTCCGAAATGAATCCATGGGTCCTAGGGCTAATAGAATGAAGCAAGGACGGTGCCAAAAAAAGGCCCCTCCCCTAAGACAAGCGAGGAGGCTACGATGGATATTGACACTATTCCGTATAGTCTGACACGACGGGCGCCGCAGGATTGATGAGCAATTGTCATCGACAGAGGTCGGACAAATCACCGACGTCAAGGGAAGCTGGGAGAGAAATTGTCGAGATGATCGGTGACGCCCGGGGAGGACCGTCGATTTGGGACAGCCAGGGAACCCAGCGACCAGGATACGACCGCTGTCAGTGATCGAATCACGGCGATCCGAGTGATTTGGAATTGGCCTGACACACAGACGTTTGTGGGGTTCAGCTTCGTATTGGGGCCCATGATTTGTCGCGAGGGTCAAACAATAGTTCCTTAGCCTTAAGAGCAGCACGTTCCCTCTCCTGAGCCACGGCAGGGTATACTTCATTACGAAACTTCTGGACAGCGTCAATCTTTTCCTAATAATGCTTCTTGGGTGTGGGTCTCTCGGCAGCCTAGGTGACGGCGGGAATCAGAGCTGTCATATTCTGTCCGGCGCTAGGGTTCCCACGTTCTTCTAGTTCCGCCCTCCGTCGGGCTCTACTTCCTCGGAGGCTGGGTCGGTTTCAACCAAAAAGTTGGGGGTTCGAAACTTCTACTACTGCAAGATCCCTCAACAGTTTGTTGTTTGCCCCTCTACGCATGTCCACTTGCATCCGACTGGGGGCTCTCCAAAGTTTCGCGGCTGTAGGACCTGTGTGCGGCGGCTTGCAGCTCGGGGAGGGGCCACCCAGGCACGAACCATTCGAGCTCACATCTTCCGTCGTTCCCCGGACCCCCCGCTGTTGGCCATTTCGAGTGACGTGCGTCTGGATCTGCCAGGGTATGCACTCTGGATGTGCCGATGGAAACCTTAGAGATCACAGCGCGAACCCGATCGGCCGGGCAGGTTGGAATGGTTCGATTGCGAACCTCTCACCTCGCGCAGCATCTATCCAGACCTGTGCGGCTCTAGTAGAGATTTCATTTTTGGGTATCCTGAACTACTAACAGAGGCCCTGCCCCGTGGGAGTAAGAACCTGTCCGGCCTTTTCTTTTCATGTAGGGGCTCGCCTACCTACGACATGTCATGTTCCGCAGTCAAAGACGCCATGGCGGGGCATTACGAACTGCCCAGATCTGAGATCGAATTCCTTCTCTCTATCTCGTGTGCCCCTCCTTGTCGATGGCCTAGATCTGCGGGCCAAAGTGGCTCAAAAGTACCACCGGTTCATGCGCGCTGCAAGACCTGTTCTTCTTTCTTGGAACAGCCACGAAAGATACTTCCACTACCGCACCTAGTGGCTTAGTGTCTGCGATGTAGAGCACTAAAGTACGTCTGTTGAGGTCGTTTTCTTCACTATGCTCGATCAACCTCGCCTTTTTCCCTCTTTTGATGGAGATAGCAGCAGACTACTGTGCATGTTGTGTACCCCACCTCTTGCTCCGTCCTACCCCTCCTCCTTGTGGAAAGCGTGGACCCATGCTCGTGTTAGGGTCAATGATCCAATTCAAGAGCCTGCTGAAATGGAGGTGGCCATAAATTAATTGGTCGCCATGGCCCTGTCAACACGTTAGAGAAACAAATAATTGGCAACGCCACATGAGAACTGGCAGCAAGGGCCGGATCCATAATTAGGGCCTGTCAACCTTGTCTGAGCGCCGATGACACATTACATTATTTTACTCAAGTGTTACTAAGAAAAGCATGCTGTTCCTGCGCCATCGGAGCACGCGGGAAATATTCTGATCAATTTTCCGAGCGGGAATGTGGCCACCACACCACGCAATCATGCAACGCAGCTGCAAGGACACAACAGATAGCACGCTGAGACTATCCATCTGGTTGCAGCCCGTTCTGGGCAAACCTCGCCACGCTTACTGTGCCCGCACCGCATCTGACACGTCTTGCTCTTCCCCTTTCCCCCGGCGGCGCAAGCCCCAGGGCCCACGGAGGGGCTTCTGTTCCTACATGGTGCCGTGCGATCTATGATCCCTCTTCTTTGACGAGGTGCCCGAGCAGGTCCCCATTACCTGGATCCCGAGTTGCCTGCAATGCAAGGCGTATGTACCGTGGCGGACCAGACCTGTGCGTTCATTCAGGTACCCTCCATCAGATATGCAGTGAAGAAGATCGCCTTGCCACTATTACATCTTCCGGGCTGCTGTCGTCTTTTATCTAGAGAAGGCAACTAACTATCTTCACTAAGAATAGACGTAATCAACTAGACACTATGTACACACCTGACCAAGATAAGAATATACAGTACCTCAACAGGTAGCCCTACCTCGGTAGCCAGGCTCTACATACGAACTCACAATTAGAAAGAAAGAAAAACCACCCCAACTCACCCCAGATGACAGCTCACCATACTCGTCGTAGATAGAAGCAGATCTCTTCTCAACCCCCGCAAATCGTCGAACCTTGGAACAAAGTCCCGGTTCCCGAACAGAAACCCCATCCCGATCATTCCCCTCATCCCCAACGCCGATGATGAACGCATGGTTTCGCCCCGATGGCACTAGCAGGGAGTGTATCGCCTGCAGCAGCCAATGGGAAGCTCCTCGGTGCTGTTCGGCTCGCCAGATCCAGTTAGCTTTGCTGACTACAGAGTTAGGCCGCGGGGAAAGGGTTCCGGGAAGACATAGCACATACACATACACACACAGAGAAGAGAGAGCTTGCCATGCCATGTTCTGTTTCAGGGTTTGGTTCATTAGGTGCAGCACACACGAGTCTCTCTCGTGGTTTAAAACTCCGCGTGGATGGATCTATCGAACCGTTTTCGTCGAGCGGGCGATCTACCTCGATCTGAGCTGTGAGTACAAAGTACGAAGTGTACAAAGTGACTACCCATGAGATCATGTCCATGAAGAGAGAGCATGGCATTGAGCGTTACTGTCAAGAACAATTGCCATTGTCCAACAAGCAGTCCTTTCTTTCTTTTGCTGCAAGATAAGATCCGATCGCCTCAATAGTCCTCCAGCCTCCCAGCTTCAAGAGAGAATCAACAAAGTCCATCTCAGCGCCGTGATTGGCCCGGACCATCACACACTATGCGCGTCTATCGAAAAGGCTCCCCAGCATCGCAAGGGCGCCCCACTACTGATGATCTCGAACCCGAACTGGTGTTCCCTCGAATCGGAACCCTTCGACTTTCCCCAGCCTAGCTGAGTTTGACGAGTCATTTTTTGGAGGGCGGCTCGTTCTGGGTTCTGTGTGCCTGGAAAAGTACAATGGAATGCATGGATATACCAGCACAAACCCAACACCCGGTGCAGCATATCCCTACTTCAGTATGTACACTATGTACAGTCCCAGCTGAAGGACCACAATAATTAAGGGTCCAGACTCGATATGCATATCCGCTCCGCACAGCCATAGAGACCAACCAGCCTGATGTCAGATCTAGAGCAGGGTAACTAGGACAGATGATCTCTCGATCTGATCTCTATGTATTAGATCAAGAATAATAATAATATGGGGCAGCACAGGGACTAAAAAAGTGTGTCTCTGGGTTCTGCACACAATATTGTGGAGAATATATATTTCTGATTGCGATAATTTCAGCATCGATGGCGCCATAAATTCAACGTAGATAGTCATACAGAAGAGAGCTCGACAACAGGATACAAGTTAATCGTCATTCTCGGAAATTTTCTTCTTCGTTCCGCTCTAATTAACTTTTCCCGATGTGTTGGCACATCGATCGATCGGGAGTAGGCGTAGTTATGGTATACTATGTTGGATCGATTTTGTTCCTGGTGGGGGAAGTGGTTGAACTGCAGGGGTTTTTCGAATTCCATGAACAAGCAGCTAAGCTAGCAAAGAAGCAATTGAAGACAAGAGGTCCTCCGAGTACCAGCCACTGCAGTCCTCGATGGGAAGGATGGACCGTTGCCTTGGCTGGAACGACTCCACTGGACTACAAGGACATGTACAAGGGGGAACGAATACATTGAGCGCAAGAGCACTCCAAAAGACGTATCGAGATAGTAAGGACAATGGATAAAAGAAAAGAAACAAACTCCTTCCCGATGAACAGCGACAGGGAGGGGAAGTGTCTCCCGAGGACAAAATCCAAAGGGTGAATTTTCCTCACAAAAGACCGAATTATTATCATAAGAACTGCAGAGTAGGAACGACAAATCAAGGAAGCGTTGCTTGGTAAACAATTCTACATCCCCCAGAAGACCACATCTCTCTCTCTCTCCGCCACACATCACTCAGCCGATTTAGAAGAGCTGGGCAAGAGCGTAGAAGGCAGCAGCAACAACACCAACAGTAGGCATGTCGACGCCGTTGGCGACAGCAATGCCGGAGGTGGTCGTGCCCGCTGGGCTACCGCCGCTGGAAGTGCTGGTGCCGGACAGTCCACCACGAGTCTTAGGGTCGGAGGTGGACGCGCATTTATACAGGCCGCGGATCGAATACGACTTGATTTTATCAAAGGCCTTGCAGTCGGGATTGATAGGACCAGTGCTCTCGACGTGGAAGGCACCCGCGACGTTCTCGAGCTTCGGGAGCTTGATCCTATACACATGCGGGTTAGGGACATCCATCCACGAGACGGAAGGAAACAGATACTTACGTGCCAAAGTCACCGCTGAAGTCAACGGCACCAGTAACCTTCTCCAGGGAGGGGAAGACGATGCTCTTCAGGGGATCAGACTTGGTGATTTCAAAACCACCGTCAACCTCCTTCAGAAGGGGCATGGTGATGTTGCTGAGCTGGGTGTTGTTGAAGAAGGTCAGGTCACCAACGGTGGTCATGTTGGGAGCGTAGAACGTCTCGAACTGGCAGTTCCAGAGGCCGAGAGAGTTGGTGAGCGACTTAAGCGAAGGCATGGAGACGGCCTGGACGGAACGGAAGGTCATGTTGGTGCCCGAGCTCAGGTTGGGGAGCTCAATCGAGAGACCGCCGTAGTTGTCAGAGAAGTCAATCTCATCGGTGGCGTTCATCAGGTTGTTGATGTTGACGGACTTCAAGTAATTGTTGGCCTGGATTTCGAACTTGCCAACAGTCCTCAAGCTGATGCCATCCAGGCTGGTCAGCTGGGTGTTCTCGATGTGGACGCCGCCGGCCTTGGTCACGCCGGTATCAAATCCGAGCGATTGCAGCGAGGAGAGGGCGATGAAGTTGATGTTGCCCAGGACGGTAGTCAACGCCGGCATTTCGAGAGAGGTCAGACCAACAACCTCGTTCAACACGAAATCGCCTCCGATGGCGCTGAGGCTGTCGGCGTACAGGGAGGTGAGATGGGGGCAGTTCTTGGCGGTCAGGCTACCGGTGACTTGCTGGATGCTGTTGAGGTCCAGGGGGCCCGAGAAGGACTTGTCGATGGTGATGTCACCCTTGACGGTCTGGCAGCTGGCGATTGCGTCGGCATCGCCCTGGGCGGAGATGGTGGTGTCACCGCAAGCTGGGCGAGGTCAGTTCTCTGTTTGGTCAATCGCAGGAAGCGAAGGGGAGGGGCACTCACAAGAGGCGAAGACGACCTGAGTGGCTGCCAGGGCAGACAGAAGGTACTTGGAGAAGGCCATGGTAGAAGCAGCTCTGGTCGGTTGATGTCAGTGGGTGTGTCCAGGAGGTTTAGGGGGTGAGTGTAGAGAGAAAGGGGGTGAAGGAAGGGCGTACCGAGAGTGGATGGTGAAGAAGAAGAAACGACGGGAACGAGTGAAAGGGAAACGCTTCGATGAGGAGGAAGCGACCAGGTCGGATAGGGAAAGAACGAATGAATGGATTGGGGGGAGGGAGGAATAAGTCAAGGAGAGAAAGAGACAGGACAGGAAACACAAGGAAGGAGGCGCGGCCGATGTGGGCCTGTTTTTGTTGTTGTTATTTACGGTAACCACGGGACTTGGTATTTTATGTGTATTGGCTCCATACACGTGTGGCATGTCCGCTTCCATGACTATAAGCATGAATGAATCATAATAAATGAAGCTGCTATTCACCTTTGCGAAATTCTCTAGATACATTGTCTTAACTACAATAACGGTTGAATGGTCCGTCTGGTTGGTGAGAAGATGATTGCCACTGCATCCCACTAGTGGTGCAACTGTAATACTGATGCTCGCTCAGGGGTCGGATCGACTGACCATCAGAGCTACTAATGATCAAAGTAGGCCTGACTACCCAATCCACAGTGGATGCGTCTCACCTAAACGGCCAATCCGTCCCTCCGCTGGTGTCATCTTTACCTAGAGCAGTAACAAAGATGGTCCTGTGAAGAAAACGACCATCCTTAGCTAAAGGTTCAATACAATCCTCACCACTACTACTCGTCATCCCCTAACTCCTATACCCATCCTAGTCGCAGGGCAGGAAAGAAATGGTCGATCTAAATAAATGTCCTGCAATCAAGCCTTTGGTGGACCCGCCCCCTGCCGCCATCGTCCATGGGGCCTCCCGGTATGTGAGGTCTCCCATTGGTACATTGGAATGGCTCGTCCGCCAGTTATGGCAATCGGTGCAAGCTAACCTGTTAACGTGAAGCACCCGATCGTCCCTCGCGGCAGGATGGGCATGATCATACAATTATCATCAAGTTAGCCTATATACACATGCATGTGCATGTATCTTTTTGATTGATTGATTATTGGCCCCCTTTTCTCCTATCCATTTTTTCTGACATGCACTAGTTAGTGAATTGCCCATCCTAATGATACATAATTTAACTTCAGTTCCCAGCAGGATCCTTCCTCGGCATCATACAGTAACGCCCTGGCCCCGGTCGTCATCTTCCTCCGTCGCTGATCACCATGGAGGAAACTTCCACAAAACTTGTCCTCTGTAATGCCGACCGTTGCTAGTCACCCAAGCCCAATTGCTTGGAGTTCCTTGAGTTTCTGTCGTACATACAGAGTACCGTCAGGCTCTGTAATGCGTAGTCATGAAATGTTTCAGGTCGATTATGGGCCGGAGCCGACTTGCGCCGTCTGGGGCCTCTGCGCATTGCTCCACTCATTGCTCCACTAGACGGATCAAGGAAAAAATTTATATCCTTGGCGAGATCCATTGAACGTACTCTTATCAGAAAGGGTCAATTGTTTCTTTATTATGAGCAGCGTGGACAAGGTTAGGGATCGCCGTACTATCCATCCCCTAGGCTACCATCCGTGCCTGCAGCGCCACCGAGTGCAAGTTACAGGCCATAATGAAATTAAATCCCAGCAGCCAAGTCCATGTGAGTCCGTGCGGGATGGAACCTGTTTTACTGTTAATCGCATGGTCGGCTAGCCGTGGCATTTCAACTGACATTCCGATATCTGGCTGGGAAGAGAGCGTAAAAAATGTGTTTGGAACGGTCGGCGTATCAAAACGGCATCCGTGGGAATGCAGCACATTCTCCAAAACTCGTGACCGATAAAAATAAAGCTAACTTTGGGTGTTCTTGTTTAGACTGAGTGAAGGTTTCTTTCTTTCTATTATTGTGCCACCTCGACTCATTGGTCTTACAGGCAGGGATTCCTGTGTAGTCAAGACCACAATCAGCCTGGTCGAGGGCTTACCCCACTCCCCCCATAAACAAGGCTTTCAAAAAAAAAAATCCTTGTTTCTGTCAGACGTTGCCAGTGTCCTTCCCGTTCCCAGTCTCCAATGCTGTCGTGGTGGAGGACAATTGGTTGCCGTTGATCCAAACAAGCAGTCCAGTATACATCCATCGGTCAGGATCTCTCTCTACTGAACTGGGGCTCAGTCTCGAACTCAAAAAACCGTTGGTATTGCTGTTACCAGGCTGTAGACTTGTAAAAACGGCCTACCGTGGATCGGGTGTTTCTCGAAATAGAACCTTGGAACCAACAACGGGCGGAGCAAACAGGGCCAATCGCATGACATTCCCCCCTATCAACCAGGGCACAATGGCTATTTGTTGAGCGAACGGGTTTGCTGTGGGATTTGCTGGATGGGGAAATGATCACTGCAATTGCAGATTTTTGTCCCTGTGGACGTGTTGGTAGTACAAGTGAACGAAGAGAATTTTCCAGAATATATATTTCTGGATGGTGGATGCTGCTGTGTATGTATAGTTTTGGTCGCTGGACGGGAGGGACGGGAGCACCAATGTATATCCGGTCGGATATTTTACCCTTTGCTATACATCTATCATCTCTAGCTTCGCTCAAAGGTGGAATTGCAATGTCTCGCTCGTTAGTTATCAAAGATGGTGAACGGTTGATCTCCAGATCTACATCTCTGAGATCAAGCCCCCCCATGCAGCGGCTCCACCGACCATGCTCTATATACTCGGAGAGTAAATCCGCGGAATTAATCATAACGATTGAATCAGAAATAAAGGTAGTCGATCTTATTATTTGTTACTTTGAAGTCATAGTTCCGACTCGAGGGCCCGCCAAGCATCGGCACCGCCCTCAGCTCAGCCCAACCCCGGAGTCATCACCTCCCCGTATCAACCGTCACACAACCACCAACATGGCACTCAGACGGTCTACCCGACTAGGTACAGTCCCCAGCATCCAGAACCCACCCGTGCTACAGCGCACAGCACCCAGCAAAGTGTCAAGGGTGCAACACGGCGCCGTTGCCAAACCCCGCAAGCTCTCTACGAAGCCAAAGAAACCAGTTCCAGATGTCAAGCCATCCACCACCTCCGACTCCTACTGGACCTCAGAGTCCCCAGCTACACCATCTAAACCCCGAAATGTCTCCCCGCCCCCTCTCAACCGCCCCGTCGACCCGCACCGAACAAACGCAACCCTCCTCACCCCTCACGGCTCCTCCGTAACTGCCTACCCACAAGACCTACAAGATGCCTCGCCCTCAAAGACCGGCCTGCCCCGACCCATCGCTACAACAGGAACGCTTCTCGAGAAAGCAACCGCCCACTTAATAGCCACAGACCCGCGCCTTCGACCCGTCATCGAGGCGCACCCGTGCCCACTCTTCTCGCCCGCCGGCCTAGCAGAAGAAATCGACCCCTTCAACAGCCTGACGAGCAGTATAATCGGACAACAAGTCTCCGGCGCAGCGGCAAAGTCTATTCGGAACAAGTTCCTGGCGCTCTTTGACAGCCTGGGAGATCGCAAGTTCCCCACGCCCGAGGAAGTCGCGCGGTGCGATATTGCCACGCTGCGCACGGCGGGCCTGTCGCAGCGCAAGGCGGAGTATATCCAGGGATTGGCGGAGAAGTTTGCTGCTGGGGAGCTGAGTGCGCAGATGCTGGCGAGGGCTAGTGATGAGGAGCTTGTGGAGAAACTGACTGCGGTGCGTGGGCTCGGAAAGTGGTCTGTTGAGATGTTTGCCTGCTTTGCTTTGAAACGGATTGATGTGTTCTCGACTGGGGATCTGGGTGTCCAGTGAGTTATGGTCCTATTTTGTTCTTTTTAATATGGCTACTGACTATTTATTTACAGACGAGGCTGTGCGGCCTTTACGGGTCGCGATGTGAGCAAGCTCAAAGCCAAGGGTGGTGGCAAGTTCAAGTACATGTCTGAGAAGGATATGTTGGAGCTGGCTGCCAAGTTTGCCCCATATCGGTATGTTGTCTGCTTTGTTGCCGGGGTCGTGATAACTGACTTTGCTATTTAGGACCCTGTTTATGTGGTATATGTGGCGGATTGAGAACGTGGATGTGGCCGTCCTCGCTGGTTGAATGGACAGTTCTAGTATGATTGATGATATAGGTGTGGGACTGGATACTGTAGTATATCATTCACATGTACACGACCAGGGAGTATAGTCCTGAACAATAGGTTAATGTGGCCATCCATAAACGCACGATGGCTGGTTTATCGCAATAAGAGGAGTATACGATCAGAAGAGCCAGTAGATAGTACGAAGAAATCGATTTGTACACTATCCGTACACACAGGTCATAATCACCCCCTCAGCATCGCAGAAACAAAAGAAATCCAATGTCTATGTCACGCAGAAAGCATCTGCCACCCTTGATGGTTTTCATGTCAAGTCTCGCTGTCAGGAGACTGCACGGATTTACCGGCGAACAACAAGGGTGTCCAGGTCCTCGCGCTCCTTCGCCTCCTTCTCGATCTCGCGGATGATCGGGCTCAGGTACTCAACATCCTGTGTATAAATTGTTAGTATCATGCTTAATCAGACGGACTCCGCATGAAGTGACAAATCCGTGTAACCGGGTTGGCCAATCTAGGGATCCATGCGGGGCGGGGAGAAAATCAACTCACCTCCTCAGGCTTGGTCTGCTCGTTGGGAGGGAGTAGGGTGTGGGAGATGGAGCACTGCAATTGAATCGTTGGTTAGGTCCTGAGCGCAGATTTCAGTTTAGAGAGAACTAGGCGACACGAACCTGGAAAGCGCGGCGGATGCGGAAGACACGGTCGTAGGCCTCCTTGGGCGGCAGGCGCTTGATGGCGTTCTGGACATGGAGGTTCTCCTCGGGGATCAAGTCATCGAACCTGGGCGACAGTCAGTCATCGTGGGTTTTCGAGGGAAATTCGCAGACAGGATCCGACAGGACCCGGGACAGAAGTGACACAGCTGCGACCATCACGGAAAGCCACCGTGGCCTGCAATTGAACACACTGCCCCAGTCTTCGTATACATCGGAGCGGGTTGGGGGGTTGGTGGTCGTACTTGAGGCCGAGTCTCCTGTAGCCGGCAGCGTCGGCGTACCACTGGGACAGCGGCATCATCCAGCGCTGGAGCCATGGGCGCTTGACAATAAAGTTGGTGATCGAAGGGGCAGACATGATGGATGCCAGGAAGGCCAATTGGCGAGGGTGAGCAGAGGGTGCAGGGATGGCTAATGAATCGTGAACGAACGCGAGATGACCCGATGTTGCGAGGTTGTGCAAAACGGGAGCTTGACACTAGACCTGAAGCGGCAGAATCCACGTGACCGGGCGAGACAGGCAGTGGGGAGGAACAAGAGAGGAAAGGAATGACCCGGAGAACTCCACCTCACCAACTCAACCGGTGTCTCTTCAACTTTCTCTTTGGGGCTCCCTGTGCTCACACCGAGATGGGCTGTGTTGATCCCGAAGCTCTGATCTGATTCCCTACCCCAACTAGGGGAGCTGTGCGAGCGAAACCCCGCCCAGGATCACAGCATCCCAAAGAAGCACACCGCACCGCTTCGGCAACCATCGGCTCCCTCACAAAATCCCTGCTCACAACACTCCCTATCCGTGGACTCTCTTTTTTGCACTCCTCCACTGTGACTCCCTAACCTAGTCTATTTTTTGGGTTCCGGATCGAGCAGACCGCTATGCTCCGACCCCGGAGCCCTCGGTGATATCGGACAGACTACGCCTTGTGAGCGCTGGCCCCCAGGATGCATTCTGAGAGCAGAGGTGCCCCGGCAGCTGCCAGCAGCTCGCCAGCTTCCTCGCCTCCAACGGAAAACAATGCTGCCTCGCCCACGCCTCGCATGCCGGCTGCCGATGTCGATGCCCCGTCCACCTCCGCCTTTATGACTCGCCTTGAAATTCTCTCCACTCGCATTCCGAACTTCTACATTGCTCCTGTCTGTGGAGCGAGCGCCGGGGTGGCGTCTGGGATTGTGACTTGTCCTCTGGATGTGATCAAGACCAAGTTGCAGGCTCAGGGAGGCTTTGCCCGACGGGGGACGCAAGTTGAAGCCAAGACATTGTACCGGGGGATGCTAGGTACGGGACGGATGATCTGGCGGGAAGATGGAATTCGTGGTCTGTACCAGGGTCTCGGCCCTATGCTGCTGGGCTATCTTCCGACCTGGGCTGTCTACCTGGCCGTCTATGACCGGTCTCGTGAATATTTCTACGACCAAACAGGTATGTCCCTATCTCATTTATTGTGAAGTCTATCCTGACCCCCTTGGCAGGAAGCTGGTGGCTATCCCGAGGGTATGCATCAATCACAGCTGGCGCATGCTCAACCATCGTGACGAACCCCATCTGGGTCATCAAGACCCGGCTCATGTCGCAGAGTCTCAAGAAGAGCAACGAGGGCCTGCGTGCGCCATGGCAATACCAGAATACCTGGGACGCCGCTCGCAAGATGTACCAGATTGAAGGCTTTCGCTCGTTCTACTCTGGCTTGACTCCCGCTCTCCTGGGGTTGACTCACGTGGCCATCCAATTCCCCCTTTACGAATACTTGAAGATGGGCTTCACCGGCTACGGGATCGGCGAGCACCCAGACACAGGCAGTTCCCACTGGGTCGGCATTTCGTTCGCTACTTTCCTAAGCAAGATCTGCGCCAGCACCATCACCTACCCTCATGAGGTTCTGCGAACCCGACTCCAGACACAGCAGCGCACCCCTCCGCCGACTTCCCCGGAAGAGATTGCTTTCCGAGGAGGCCTGGAACACCCGCATGACCGCAACCGTCTTCCAGGGGCCCTGGGCTCGTCTTCGGACGGCATGCCCAACCGCCCTCGCTACAGCGGTGTCATCCGCACGTGCCAGACCATCTTGCACGAGGAGGGGTGGCGCGCATTCTACTCCGGGATCGGCACCAACCTGTTCCGGGCCGTCCCGGCTGCTATGACGACGATGCTCACCTATGAGTACCTGCGCAAAGTCATCCACAAGTTCCAGCATGAGGGTCAGATGAAGAAGCGGCTGGAAGAGGAGAAGTCTGCCGAAGCATCTGGGATGATTTAAAGCCGCCCCCCTCCGAGTCTGATCTAGACACGTCTCCTTCAACCAACCTTGACACCTCAGATATTATTTCTCTACTCCTCGACACCCTCCCATCAATCTCCGACCGGCCTGTCATCCCGGATCTTTCCACAAATGTGCATAGAACAATGGGCGGCGGGTGGATCAGTTGCCTGCAATCAGTTTCGGATGGCTTTTTTCAAGCGCTTGTCTTGCCTCTCTGCATTCACAAAAGATCGTTTGCTTCTCTACTTTTTCTTTCGGCATAGATGGCAGTTCCTGTTCACACCTCAGCCTTGACATGTGAAAACTTCCCCCGACCTGACCCAGTCACTTACTTGCACACAGACCTGGGCTGCTTTTTGTCAGTTCCACCTCTCTCACCTCATCAACTCCTCGTGTCCTTTTTATGAGCGTCTCTTTTCCTCTTTTCCCCTTTCTTTTGTGTCAAGTACCTACCGTATCTAACATCCCCGCATGGTTTTTGCGTGTCGAGTGTACATACATACCATATTTTATCTGCCATCATATTAATGGCTTGCCCTTTTCATTTTTTGCTTCTCTACTTGCTACCTATCTTGTAGAAAAGCTTGTAGCTAAGAGTTAGTTGGTAACTCAGAGGTTGTCAACAATCACGTGATTTCTACCCCGATTTGATTTTCTTTTCTTCGCTTGGTCTTTCTCTTTTCTCTCTGACACCCAACAACACTCCACAACCATTTTTGCAACCACCTTCAGTTTTCATGAAGAGTTTAGACCCTAGGGCTGAACCTTACTGGTGTTTCCTTCTTATGGGTGCTACCAGTCTTCACACGCAAAATGTGGCCTATCCTCAATCAAGACTCCCAGGTTGAATTTTCTGATCTGGCAAGGACTGCATCGTGATAATTACACACATCTCAACAAAATGACCTTTCGCCCTCCTTAACATAGTATGCTATAGTCCTGTGACTGACTGGCCTAATGTGTGCCAGTCTAGGGGTGAGCATTGACTGCTACTGACCATATCCACCTAGCCTTCCCTCATCCCTCCTCCTTTCTCCTCCCAAATGACCCTTTTTACGAACTGCACCACTAGTTCTAGACTACCCTCATCCTCCTTCGTTATCTATATGATGATTCCTTTCTTTGAATATTGACTTCTAGGCTGTCCCACACTTGGACGCCTGGACATGATCATTCATACACTGAAAATTCTGATTGATAATGAGGAAGATGGAAGTTTCTTTCCCTTTTCTATCTCTCCGGTAAATTAGTTCTGTATTGAATGTTATAATCGATCTTCTTCTTTTGTCACTCTTGTTCCTCGTAGCGGAGCAATGAATGGTAGTCGCTAATATAATATTCAAACTCCTTAACATAAAACATCCTGCCGCACGCACCTTGAATGAAATATATCCGACCCAATGCAATGGTATCAAAGAGATAAGTAATAATGGTACAATGTCCAATAACAAAAAGACCACAAATATCTCTTCATAGTCCTAATTACCCCTTCCCCTTCCCATTCCCCTCCCCCCTTTTCCCTGCCTGACTCTCCTCCAGAGCCAGCTGAACCCATGACTGCTCTTTCCCAGACCGGCCAGATGGTGTCTGTTGTGACTGAGAGGGCAGTCCTGACGAGTTTTGCGTCTGGGCCTCGCGCCGGGCACTTCGGATGGAACTGATGCAGTAGGAGCAGAGGATGATGGCCATGGTGAAGGCTGCGATGGGGGCGTTGAGGGACTTTGTTGTGTGAGGGGTCAGTATTAAAATAGGCTTGGTGTTTGCTTTATGGAGTGGAATTGTGGGATTGTGGGGATTAGGCATATGTGGTGTAGTATAGAGAGTCGAAAAGGACATGGATGGATTGATGGATTGGCATTTGTGGTTGGGGATTTGGGGCAGTTTGCTTGATAGATAAGGGAACGATTGACTTACACCAGACTTTCTGCCTAGTCCCTTTGGAGTTGGTGTGTTTTGTTGAGGCATTGTGCAACAGTGAGAGCTTTGAATATGGCAGTGACAAAACAACATGAGGTACCTCATCGGCAGATCCAAGATGTCTATGCCTCAGGCAAATAATAGCGTGGAATGTCGCGTATCTGCGCGTCCACCGTTTATTCTTTTCTTCTACAACCCGACCATGTCTCAATTCAGTACCCAAACTAGTGGAAATCGAAAGCCAAACGCAGAGCTATCCAGAGAGCAGCGTTCCGCAATCCTATCTGCCCTTGAGCTTGGCCAATCGCCTACCAAAATCGCAAACGATCTACGCGTTTCCCGCAAAACTGTATACTGCACACGCGAGCGCCTTGAACAACGCGGAGACGTTGATTCCCGGCCTCGTAGTGGTAGGCCTAAGCTTTTTACCCAAACAACTTGCAGATATATTGTTCGACTCGCGCGCCGGAACCCGTCGTGGGGCTATAGGACCCTATCTGCGAATGCACCCGAAAATCCAAGCCGGGATACAATTCGTCGCATTTTAAAAACTTATAACCTTCAACAGTACAAAGCAAGGCGTCCGATACCTTTGAATCGAATTCCTGCTCGAAAACGGCGTCGATTGGCCCGTCTTTGGGGAGGTAAATAAGTGGATTTACGTCATCGGGAAGTGTGACCAGACTTCTGCGCTTATGCCTAGCCTGGCCTGTTAGATCTTATTGTACATACATATCATTTCCGGGATTAACTGCTACGAAGTACGGTATTTGCTGATTGAACCCTCTTGATGTTTTATTGCTCCTTTCTCCGAGTTCGTTATCCCCGTTCTCAGGAACTAATGCCCGGATTCGGGTATAGATACCACCAGCCGGTCACCCCTACAATCCGTTGTCTGCAGAACCCCATCGAATTCGTGCTCTTACAACATAAAAAATGATTACAGTATTAACGTGTCAATCCATTTGGATTTACATGGCCCACCGTCTATCACTCTCCACCAGTAGAATCAGCGGCTAGTCCATTGGCCCGCGGGAAATCGGGAAACTCGAGCAGGAATGGCCGCGACCAGTGTCGCCACCGAGTTCTTTCGCTGTGATATCACCACCCACAAGAACAGCTGCACTTCTCCACTGAGTAAAACAAATAATAGCTATCTTCAAAATATACTAACACTGTGTGAAAAGATCATGAGTCAGCTTCTCCGAAAGTCGGAGGCAAACGACTTCCCCATCAGGCTAGCGCGCTGACCTAATCCCGGCAATCAGATTCAAGCATTAATTCATCATCGTCTCGCCTCTTCTCCCTCCCGTATCTGATCTTCTTCATACCATCCACTCATCCATTCTATCCATCACCATGTTCAAGCGTCTAGTTTCCATCACACCCCGCGTCGCCTCCGTGGCGCCGCGCACCACTCTCGCCCCCCTCTCGGGTCTGCAGAGCGTCCAGCCCACCATCTCCCAGCAGCGTGGTGCCGGCCCTGCTCCCCGCCAGCAGCGGAGAGGATACCATGAGAAGGTGCTCGATCACTACAACAACCCCCGGAATGTGGGCTCCATGAAGAAGACCGATCAGGATGTCGGGGTATGTAGCACATCGTGAAATTTCCGTGATCTGGTCGTTGGCCAAGCCGAATTAAAACTAACATCTCTTCTCTTCCCAGACCGGCCTCGTCGGCGCCCCCGCCTGCGGTGATGTCATGAAGCTTCAGATTCGTGTCAACAAGGACTCCAACAAGATTAGCGACGTCGTCTTCAAGACCTTTGGCTGCGGCAGCGCCATCGCCTCGTCAAGCTACCTCACCGAACTCGTTCGAGGCATGACTCTCGAAGAGGCCGGAAAGATCAAGAACACCGATGTCGCCAAGGAGCTCTGCTTGCCTCCTGTCAAGCGTATGTCTTTCTTCCTATATGCTTGTTGTATTGTACATCTTGCTGACGTCTCTTCTTAAGTGCACTGCTCCATGCTCGCCGAGGACGCCATCAAATCCGCCATCTCTGATTACTACCTCAAGAACCCCAACTCCCGCGCCACCGACCTGTCGGGTACGGGCGGTGCTATCCCTGATGTGAAGGTTGAGATTGAGCAAACTCCAGCTGCTGCTGTATAAATTGGTCTTTATCGGTTGATTTGGTGGAGGAAAAGCGATACGGGAAATTTTTTCAGCAAGCGACATTCATTTATTTTTGACGGAGTGCTGTCTTTCGCTGGGAAAAATTGTCTTGCGCATGGTCCCGTGGTGGTCGAGAAGAACAAGGCATGATCTTATTGATCGCCTTGAGGCTATCATCGCGGATGATGAGCATTCAAAGAAACAAATTAGCGAATTTGTTTAGTGTACAGATTCTTTTTTTCCTTTGTCCTGTTGTGTTCCACGATTTTTTTTTTCTGACGGGGCGCCTGGGATATCAACTCACAACTCAAATTCACCATTCTCGGAAACGTGAAGGTGCCGCGATAGTTTCCTAATGAAACGACCTGATCCCTTATTTCTACTGTAGTGTAGACAATTCTGATCTTGTAGGAATCAGTCAATACAGTCATCTATTGTTCTGTTCAGATCTATCTGCAATCTATCTATCTATACAAAACCATAACCGCCGAGGCAGCCTGGGTGTTTCAAAGGCAGAACAGCAAGAAAATCTAGTGCAGAGAAAAGGAAAACAAAAGCAGTTGAAAACGCCGACGCTGATGCACAGATAGACCCGAGACAATCCGTGCCCATTCGAAACCCTGAAAATGAGCACAAGGGAAGGGAGAGAAAGGGAGGGGAGGGGGGGGATATATGTACGAGGGAGACAAGAAAAACACAAAGAGACAGACAGACGGAAAGAAAGAAAGCTTAACTGCTCAGGCCGAAGCGGCTCTTCAAAGCCAGCAGAGTCTCATAAACAGAGAGCTTCAGCTCAACGCGCAAGAACCCAGCCCAGGCGCGCAGGAACCGGAAGAAGTTGAAGAAGTGCAGCGCGCCACCAGACTCCTGGATGGACTCCATCTGCTCCTCGAACACAGTGCGAGTTGCGTACCGTGCGAGAATCAGGAACGTGCGCATGGGACCTTGGCGGGTGTGCAGGTTTTCATCAAGGCTGCGGGCTGGTCGACGTTAGTTGAAAGTACGCTTGCAAGAAAAGAGACACATACTCAGATCGTTGGTCTTGAGAATCAGAAGAATAATGCGTGGCACTTTGCCCAACAGATCGACGAGCTGCTGGAGCATGCCTTCGCCTAACGCGCCGGAGATATCGTCTTTCTCCTCGGCTGTTCGAGAAGAGACAACATTCTTCTTGGCGAGAACGCGGTAATCACGACCGGTGATAGCGCTAGCGAAGAGCGGGAACTGCTCGTCAGTCACGCCGGCAACTTTGTACGCATACTCGCGCATCCGCGGCAGGTCCGCATCGATCACGGCTAGCCACAGCTTGGCGTAGTTGCGGCGCAGCTCGCGGTCGATGTTGCGGTACAGGCCGTGGTCGTACAAGATGATGTCGAAGTTCGGGTGCTTCCGGTTGGGGTTGAGGCGGATGGCGATATTGCCGCCGTGCGGATCACAGTGTAATGGCGCGTCGTCACCGAAGATCATCTCGTTGAAGATGTGCGCTAGCGCGGCGGAGACTTCGTCACGGTCGATATTGTTGGCGTCGAGGAACTCGAGGTCATCGGGGCGTCGGCCGGCGATGAATTCCATGACTAGGATGCGCTTTTGGGACCACATCACTAGAGTTGTGTTAGTATCTTTCATGCCCAAAATATCCCCCAAAAAGCTTACCTTCAGGAATGACCAATGGAGCATCGGAGTGCTTCTTGAAATACTCGCTCGCGCGAGTGGCGTTTTCACCCTCCATGCGGAAATCCAACTCCACTGGCAGCGACAGATCCATTTCCCTTGACAACCATTCCAGATCATATTCCGGGAAGAAGCGCTTGAGCATCGAGAAGGTGAAGCGTGTCAGAGCAAGATCCAAAGGCACCCATTCCGCCAGCGCGGGATGCTGGACTTTAACAGCGACCTTCTGCCCCGTTTCCTTGAGCGTGGCAATGTGCACCTGAGCCAGGGAAGCAGCGCCGGTAGGTTCGGCCTCGAACGAAGAAAACAACTCGTCAATGGTCTTCCCGGTATCAGCGACAAACATCTCCTCGATGGACTCGATCGACGAGACGGGGCATTTGTCTTGCAGCGGGATGAACGTCGTTGTCCACTCGACCGGAAGCAGGTAGCCCATGCTGCTGAGGTGCTGGCCCAGTTTGATGAAGATCGAGCCGTTCTTCTCGAGTACGCGCAGGGTGCGCTCTGCGCAGCGCTTGTGGCATGCGCGCACTAGTTCGTCCTGTTCTTCGGGGGTGGAGGTTTCTTGCTTGAGGGTTACGCGGTAGCTGTTTCATTCGTATCAGTGATCGTAGGCCGAGACAATATGCCAGGCTAACTTACTCGTTAATACACACGGCCAATGTGCCAACCACGCGACCACTTCTCTCCGCTGCACGGTAGGCATGCTTGGCCTGGTCGGAGAAGGCTAATGCGCCGAGACCAAGCAACCCGACAATAACCAAGTACTTGACTGTCTTCCCCCGAGTCTGTTGTTCCGTCGTGGGGGTCTTCACCGAATCCGTGGTCTTAACCGGAGCCGACAGAGGCGAGGTAGTCGTGAAAAAGCGTTTCTCATGCCAGGCAAGTTGCTGCGGTCTCCATGACGAGAAATTGCCTGCACCGAGCAGAGGGGACTGGCGCAGAAAAGCGTTTTTCGAGGTCAGGCGAGTAGAGAAGCCGGAAGTCGACAAACGGCACGCGCCTCCTCCGATGGCCGTGGAATCGAGCGCCAATGCCCGCAACGGCCGAAACGCTGCCCTCATCCCGAAGGGAAAAACTGGGGAGAAGAATGTTATAGATCGCAGAGCAGAGCGCAGAGCAGGGACTCGGGATCAGGCCATGTTTTGAGATTTTTCGCTTTTCGCCGCCAATCGGCTGCGGGATCGGGACATGCACGTGATTCCGATCTATACACGCCGGGGGCCATTTGCTCTTGATTATCTGGCAGAAGGATAGTATTGATTATTGTGAGATTCAGGAATCAGCTACTAATTTGATTTCTGCAATGGTTTCCACAGTTTGCATCTCTCCCGCCACAGACAGGCAAACCGCCCAAGTCACCATATGGCTATGCTTGACGGCGTAAGTCGTGAAATCAGGATAAATCGTCGGCACCCGCTGGATCAATTCTTTCCCATAAGTCAAACCGTGTGGATGCAGAACAAGCTGGAACATGTGCCCAAAGTTGATAGGTTGGCTATCCTTCCCTGTAGAGATCACGCACGGAGACTCTAGCTTTTCAAAAATACTTTCCAATCTCAAGCTGGTAGTAGACGAATGCTCCTGGCGGCAGTGAGTACTTGAGTAGTGGGCGCTTGTTAACCTGCTCGGCACAAGCACGGCGCTTTTATTGCAGATCATCATCTTGATCCAGTTGATCCGGACCTGTCTCGACACTCCTCTGATAGACTCGCTGGTTTTCTCATCCTCAGGTGTGATATTCAGTATCAAGGGGATAGGCAATGGACCACCAAGTTGGATAGCGCGAGGAAAAGAGAGCTCGAGTTTGCAGCAAAACTCAGGTATCTTCGACGAGCCGAAGAACCTGAACATCTTCTGTTTCATGGACAAGTCCACATTCTCCATACCCGGAATCAGCCGTGGAGTCCGGATTTTGCTTTTCATCATCTGCTGCTGCAGACTATACAGCAGGCTTGTCTCCTGTACATGGTGCCTTATGGTGATAGGATGGGTCGTAGTAAAGCTCTGCCATGCATTACCGCGAGTATATCGCAATTTCGCTTCGAGGTAATACTCGATACAGCACTCAGAAAAACCATCTTTACTCTCGCCTCCAGTCGAAAAGGAGCCAGGTAAGATATTGTGCGCGGGATGGTTCCTGTCTAGTGGGATAAAGCTGGACTCCTGGCGATGTCCCAATCTCACCGAGTCTTGAGGCTTTGTGGGAATCTGAATAGAAAACGGCCAAGTAGCCGCCTCGTCGCTATTTTTGGGAACATGCAAGGGCCCAGAGAAGAGAGTGATCGGTTTGGGGTTTAGGAGATGCCATTCGGCGGGATAGTTGCCGTTGAGTTTGTGGTCATTTCTATTGCCGTTACTGTTGCTGCTAGCTTTTCTGCTGGCACTCTCTTCGAGATTTGTCCTTATAGAACTCATCAGCGCTAGCGAAACGGTGGCTTCGGGTGTGATGATCGGCTCAGGGCGAACCAAGTCGCCGATGATAGTGTCGCCGGGGGCGTACTTCCATCCCGGAGGCGCTGCGACGACGAGCTTAAGCTCGGTCTTGTTGCGATCCGTAGAAAATGGCATGCTTGTAGCTGCCAGAAAAAAGTCGAATGAAAGAGCCTTTTAACGCTGTGATATAGAATTCAGATGTACAAGTTTTGTTGTCACGATAGAACAATCTGACGGCGGCTGGTTGCGGAGTGACCAATAGGACCGACAGAATTGACCCCATGCACCCCAGAAATGACAGAAAATAATTATGTCTTATTCAAGTAATCAATACTCTTATGGGCAGCATCCAGTGCTCATCATAGTCAAAAAAAAAGTACAGACGTTCAAGGAAAGAAAAGCCCCAATCCATCGATCGGATATCCCTGTAGACCACTACCAGCACGCAATATCATTCGTTACGTCTTTTTATGCATCAAGTCAAGTCAAGTCCATTCAGAGTCGGCGATGGTAGGGCGGCGGGTGCGTCGCGGAATAACAGAGGGTCGGCGGCTCAGCGAGCTCGGAGCCTTGGAGTCATCTTCCTGCAGCATTTCAACGTGCGAGAGGCGATTCGACATGCCGCGAGCGACCCGCGATCGTGGCGGAGGCATATTTCCATTCGCGGCTGAGCCGAGAGCGGAGGTACTGCCGTCTCGGCTGCCGGGTCGGAGGGCTAGAGAGGAGCCGCTGAGGGCATTGCGCGGGTGTCGGGGTGTCTCGCGGCCTTCGAAGTAGCCTCTTGACTGGCTACTGCGGTTTGTTTGTGGGGTTGAGGGTGTGGAGGAGCCTGAGTAGGGAATTGGAGGCGTGGTGGTGCTTTGACGCCGACTGCTTGTTGGTCTGCGCTTGCCGCCAACGCCGAAAGCTTCGCTGCGCTCGGTCGACTGGATTAGTTTGCCGGCCATGTCTCGGACGAGAATGGCTGGGTCGTTTTCGAGCTCGCGGATCGCGTCTAGAAGACCGTACGTCGCAAGGAGACCTCCTTGGTGGTCGCTGGAGTCGCAGATACTGGATATGATGCGTAGGAGGTTCAATCGTACTGCGGTTTTGTTGTGGTGCAGCTTTTGTCCAAGCCTGGTGAAGAGGTCTGGCCGGGCAAGTGTTGCTGCCACGGGAGGACTCAAGCGAAGCAGTTTCTGCAGTGGCTCTAGGAGATTTTCAAATGCATTGGCCTTGGACAGTGTCAAGCACCGCACAATGGCGTCGGTGAATGATGTCGTCTTGTCCTGACGGTTGCTCAGGAGATGCTCTTCCACCTTGGCGGTCTCTTCTTGGAGCCATGTGAAGATGGCATCCAGAGCTGTGACTTGCCAATACGGATCCGCAAGAAGAGAGATATAAAAGGCAAGGCCCTTGTTTCGCCACAGCTCGCGACGACCAACCTTCCCAGACTGCGCCATGTCGCAAAGGATGGGCAGCGCAAACTCCTTCAGCGGCCGTTCTGTCTTGACAATCTTTTGGAGCAAAGGGACGATTCCATTCAACGCCGCATCCTCCTGTCGAGACTTGTTCAAACGACACATGTTGTAAATAGTGTTGAGAATTTGATTCGAGACTTCACGGAAATGGGTCCGTTTCATGGTTAAGCGAAGCAAGTCGGTTAGTACATCAATGGCGTTCGAGTTTTGGAGGGAGTCTAGGGTGGTGGAGAGCATCGACAGGTTCTTGATGAACTTGAGCATGGTGATCTGGTGGACGGGGGTCATACGGCGTAGTTCCTTCAGAACTCCTAAGGAAGATTGTTAGCAAAATGTGGCAAGGGCAACATGATGTTGTTGCTTACTGTGCAAGACCGTCCGCTCAGCAACCATCTCCTTGACATGGTTCTCGGCCTGCGAGAAAATGAAGAAGATGTTTGCGATGCGGCCCTCAATGATCTCAGCTAGTTCTCCCTCCTCGTCGAGTGCCCGACCCAGAACGAGAGACAAAGGATCGAGAACAGAGTTGCGGGACAGAATCCTGCAGAAATCGTTCTTGGGAGTCGAGCCTTGGAGCTCGAAAACACTCCAGATCCCATTCACTCCGATCAAAACCAGGTCACGTTCATCTTCGTAGTCATCTTCTAAAAACTCGACCAAGACATTTAGACCACCAGCACTGACGAACATTTGGAGTGTCAAGGTCGATGTCTGATACATCTGCTGAACAAAAGCCGCAGCTTCCAGTCGAATCTCCCGAGGGTATTTTTTCGACGCAAACTCATTCACAATGGGTATTCCACCGACGAAACAGAGATTCTCCTGGATCTCATAGTCGTCGTAGATGATGGCGTTGACAACCCTCAGCAGACAGAAGACAATGTCACGTCGTCGACATGTGTCGAGAATTTCCAGAATTGGTAGCATTCCATGGGCGCTGATAATAATGTTCTTTGTCTCTGGAAGATCACAGAAAATCGTGAGAAGCTGCTCTGAGATTTCTGCAAGAACTTCCTCATCTTGGGAGGTTTTCAAAGAGCCCACAAGACCCTCCACTTGGTTTCGAAGCCGAGCGTATTTGTCGCGAGCGATGTTGGCTTCCAGATCCATCTCATCGAATCCTTCTTCCAATTGCGCAAAGGGATCGTCGTCGTCGTCCTGATCACCGAGCCAGGAATTGTTTGAGAGTTTCGAGTTCAGCATTAGGGTGCTTCTATCGGAGCCTTCATCGCTCTCTGGATTTTCCAGAGCCACCTGGTCGGCCCCTAAAATATCGGAGAAGTCTTCATCATGCTCGTTCTCTGCAAACTTTTGAATCTCTATTGCCGAGCGGTCACGCTTGACGGACAGTTGTTTGCGAAGCTGTGGGTGTTGGCCGCCCAGATCGTCATGCGAGGAATCATAACTCATCTTGTCATAGGTGGGAGAGGAAAGATCATCGTCCGATTCCTATAACCAATTAGAACATTTTTACAGACAGATTGGAAGTAACTTACTTGAAAATAACCCAGCTTGCGATCCAGCGAGTCCTCGTTTGCCATGATTAGGTCAGTATAATCCTCGACAGAGTTCTCCTTGTAGAGAGATGCCGGCCGACTCCGTCTCATCGGCGGGGCAGGATTTTGTGTGCGGATCGGAATGTTATTAAAGGTGGATGTCGAGCTTCTGTTAGACTGGCGGCGCGAAAGACTCTGAGATTTTGAAGGGTCAGGAACGGCTGGTTTGGCTGGATATGGGCGAATGGTCTGCAGTGGATCTTCGTCGACCGATTGGAGAGAGCCTTTGGAAGTATCGTCAAAGCTATCAAAGCTATCCTCGGATCGCAGAACAGACCCATCAAGCGAGGCAAAAGCCTTCAGCCTTTCTGATGAGAGCTTGCCACCAAAGTTATCCTGTGGTCGCAGATGGGGAAGATGTAGTGCACTGGGAGATATTGCCGTGGCAAAGTCATCGTCCCAATTGTCATCCTCTGCCGACTCGGCGGTTCGAAAGCGGTCTGCGGTTTGCTTTGTGGTAGGCGAGGGCAATGTATCAACTAAGGAAGTGTTCCGGTTGGAGGGCAGAGGTGCAGCGTTGTGGTCCAGCTTGGGTGGCTTTTTGGAAGCTCCGGCTCCGGGGGACCGCAGAGCTTCGTTCCATTCCTGAACGCTTTTCACGGCCTCTTCATACTCTGTTGACTTCTTGGGAACAACCGAGTCGGATCTGCGGGCGTTGACGATCCATGGGTGCTTGAGCAATTTCCTCGCAGAGACGCGCAGGTTCGGATCTTTCTGAAAGCATTGCATGAGGAAGTCTTTGACCGCCTAGAGGAAGTTAGACCCATCCGTATGGCCAGCTGCGATAGGGAACCTACCGGTGAGGCACCTTGCGGAAGTGGAGGATGATCATCGTTGACGATGCGGAAGAGCGCCGGCATGGGCTGCAAGTTATGGTACGGAGGCTTGCCCTCGAGTAGTTCGATGACCGTGCACCCCAAACTCCAGATATCGGAAGCGGTTGTCGCACCTGAGAGCTCAATGACCTCGGGGGCCATCCAGTAGGGCGTGCCCACGACGCTGGACTCACTCAAGCCCGTGGTCCGACTTGCCACGCCAAAATCTGCAAGCTTCACGAGGCCTTCCTTTGTCGTCAAGATGTTGGCCCCTTTGATATCTCGGTGGATGACACCCTGTTCGTGCAGATACAACAGCCCATGGAGAACCTGGGACATATACAAACCCACCAGGTTTTCCGGGAAGCGGCCGAAATTCTTCGCGATGGAGTGTAACGAACCATTCTCGCAATATCTATAATCCAAGGTCAGTTCTTTGCGTCCATCCGGGTAGTTGACAATACATACTCCAGAATGATGTTTAAGGTTTCTGCCGATTTGACGAATCCATGGTACTTGACGATGTTGGGATGCTGCGACAACAAATCAGTCGGGGTTCTCCTATTCGTTCATAGTGTGTCTCACATCCAGGTTTTTGAGCAAATCGATTTCCAGCTGTTTGATCATTAGTCTCAATCGTCAATAAACGGACCATACAGGCGCTGGGCATACCATGATCACACGCAACTCGCTCTTGGGCAGATCCGTCAGCTTGATTTGCTTGACAGCAACGGTTTCCCCCGTGTTCCAATTCAGCGCCCTGTAAACCGATCCGAACGCGCCTTTTCCCAGGCAATCGCCCAATTGCTGCAGCACCAAATATCATCAGCATTCCGCCATATCTAAGGGGCATTCCCACCCCACAAAATCCATACGTAGTCTTTAAGCTCGGCCACATCCTTGGCCGACGACTTGGACACCTTTTCCTCCTTGGATCTTTCCTCCCGTTTGGACGGACTGGTCGCGAGTCGTGGTAGTCTCGGCTTGACGGGGGTGCCGGGGGTCCTGGAGGAAGGGGTGAGAGGGCGCGCCTGCCCCTCACCCCCTTCATGAGACCGGGAGACCATCGCCGAACAAGACACGGCTCGGGGATTGGAGTGTCGCTGGGGATATGGGTTCTCGGGCGGCGCCCGGTCTCAGGAACGCGGGTTTCAGCTGGACGGCGGGCGGTGGGGAGGGAGAGGGTGGGTTTGTGGAAGCTAGGGAAAAGGCAAGAGCCGGGCCCGTCTCGATCTCGAAAGTGATCCCTATAGTTCGCGTCATAACTCCGGCGCGCCTTAGCAACTCCTCCTTGCTAGGAAACCAAAACCAAGAAAGTATGGCAAATAAAAGTTCAGAAACACACATCGAGGAACGCGGGTTTAGAAGCTTGTGTCTTGGCATACTTACACTTGGGGGCCAAATCTGGGGCTATTATGAAACGTATTCGAGCCCTTCCGTATTACCGTCGGGTTCTGTAGTGTAGTGGTGAGCACTTTTGGTTGTTCGTCTACCCGTTCTTCAAATTTTGCTGTGCTCTACTAACATTTCCCCAGTTGATATCTCACAATTCCAAAGGACCTGGGTTCGAACCCCAGCAGGACCTATTTGTTTTTTTATGTCCGCAAACGAGAGGGCCGACACAGGATCTGCAGAGAGTACTAGAGTGCATTCGATGTAGTTCTGGGAAATTTCGAGCAAACTGGAGTTCCAACTGAGCGAGCGAAGAGGAAGTGAGCCAGGGAGAATAGTTGTGGTGCTTCTCCACACGCTGCGGGGAGGCTTCCTGCCGATGTATTATTATTTTATACAGGGTATCATTTTCGCTAGCATATTCAGTATCTATCATTTTTGCGCCGCACGGAGCAGGCGGAGTACATCCGAGACCAGGTATAGGCTCCCAGCAATGACCAATGGCCCATCTTGAGCCACCTGGCTGGCCCAATTCATGGCGGGCAGCAAATTGCCTTCGAAACTCTCCACTTGTCCAATTCCCTCAATCGATCGGATGGCTGATGCCAGCTCCGTGGCGTTGGTTGATTTGACCCAGGGCATCCCATCAACAGGACCGAACTCCGCCGTCGCAACATTATCGCCCGGCCGGATAATGGAACGGAACACCCCTGCCAGATCTTTTCCACTCGAGGCGGCAACAACCCAAGTGACGTTTCCCTGCGGACGCAATCGGCGGTCGACATGCATTCCCAAGGCTTTGGCTGACTGTGCGTTGTGAGCACCATCAAGCAGGATCGGCTTCTCGCGATCAATCAAAGGTTGCAGAACAATGCTTTGTAGACGACCCGGCCATGTCACATCGGCCAAATGTGGGAGGAGAGCGAACGTGTCGCTCTGTGGACGCAGTTTCGATAGGGCAATTCGTAGCGCTGACACAGCGGAGCACATGTTCTCTTGTTGATGAGGCTCCAGATCAAGCTTCTGGAATATAGATGCAAGGGGTGGAAGCTGCTCATGCACCTTTGCCGGACACACAAAAGTCGCATCAATGCCAAGCTCTTGGATGCGCTTCGTCAATGAGTTGATCACTACCGTCTCATTGGTGTTATCCACGACGCAGGGGACGCCGGGTTTCAATATTCCGGCCTTCTCGCGGGTAATCTCCTCGATTGTAGACCCCAGGAACGCTTGGTGATCGAGGCCAATCTTGGCAATGACCGAGACCAGCACATCACTGAGGACATTGGTGGCATCGAGGCGACCACCCATGCCCACCTCAACCACACCGACTTCGACTTGTTCCTGGTTGAATATCTCAAACGCCGTGGCTGTCAAGAGCTCGAATTCCGAGGCGCCGATTCCGAGCGTTTGATCGCGGAGCTTCACTTGGTCTTCGACTTGGCGGAAAAGAGATTCCTGCACGACGTTCTCGCCAATTGTGATGCAATCCCATCGGTCGATCAGGTGTGGAGAGGTAAAGCGGCCGCAGCGCACCCCTCCGGCGGACAGCAGGTGCGACAGGTATGCGCTGATCGAGCCTTTACCATTGGTGCCGGCGATATGGATGGCCTTCCATGACAGCGGGGTATGCTGAAGGAGGCGCGAGACGCGGGACAGTCCTAGCTCGATCATTCCTCCGGTCTTTTGGTCGGACGGTCCGTCATTGTGGGAGTCATGGTCAAGTGTCACTGAGAGTGAACTCTAGTTACTCCGAGGAAAAGCGTTGATTCCTCAGGTGTCAATAATTGCCACGTGACCGTCTCACCGTCCTCCCAGCCTCAGGCATCCTCTTGCTTCCGTTTTCCTCCCGAGCAAAAACTCTCCCTTCCCGCCCAGATCCATCAGCCGCTATCTTGTCCCCACTGCTTCGGTGCAGGTCGCGTCTGGATTCGCGCGTTTAGAGGACTGCTTTCTTCACTCTCCCCCTTCTCCCCCTCCCCTTCCCTCCTTACTTACCGGCAATGGGTATTCCGTAAGTCGCTCCTTTTGGTGCTTGTGTCGCATGCGCCACCGGTCGCGGTAGTCCCTTCAGCTTGAATTCTAACAACATCAATAACAGCATGTGGCGGGAGCCGGCAGAGGCAGACTCCTACAGAACTGCCACCGAGAAGGATCGGTCTGCTACGGCGCGCTCGTCCATCCGTCGCCAGCCCACCATCCGTCGCCCGTCGCGCTACACTGGCTCGTCATCTCACGCGCGGGGCGCCAGCGTTCTGTCATCCTTGCCTTCGCAGATTCTCGATGAGATCCATCGCGGAATGATCGAGTCGCCCTCTGATGTGCGTTCTCCGGTCTTGAATCTGGGTGTTAGCGAAGATGGGATCGATCTCGACACGAGCAGACGTGACGCTCTGCGGAACGAACGCGCTGCTCGCAGACTAGACGCTCTGAGTGCTCCAACCCGACATCCGCGTACCCGTCAACGCCAATCCAATACAAGGTGGCGCTGGGATTGGTCGGCTCGCGATCAATCACTTGACCGCCTGCTCCCAAGTTCAAGGATTCGCTGGGCGGCTCACGAGCAACCATCCGGCGCCTTGGTTGTCCGCTCAGATCCTCCTCCTGCCCAACCTCCGTCGCAAAATGCGCCCTTGACCCCTCACTTTGCGCCGGCGCTCTCCTACTACACGACGGTCTCCTCGCACTCGCCGTCGGAATCGGTCCGTCTTCCGCCTCTGCGTCGGACAGAGAGTCGTAGCGATGACCGGGTCAACTACAATGCGGCTAGATTGCAGGAGTTTGAAGAGTTCCAGGAAGGTTATCGCGCCGGTCTTGAATCCGCTGGCGTTGACCCTTACTCCTGGCATGGAGAGCCTCTTGTTGATGGGCTCGGTGATCGTGAGCGAAGTATGAGCCCGGCTGATGAGCGCGGAACCGATGCGTGGGAAACCTTGCTGTCGACGATCACGCCGGACGCTACACTCCCCTCGAACAGCACCTCGTTTGCTTCCAACTCCGCTTCTACAACCGATGCCTCTCGCAATGGAACCTCTCGAACATCCGCCAACTCGTCGTCGCAGACTCTCCCGACCTCCCTGAGCTCTTCGCGGACCGCTCCCACCGGACTTGATCCGTACCCGGATCATCTCCATCCCTGCGACTTTTCTTCGTCGGACGAGGAAGATACCCCTGTCAACTACCGCCGCGTGCCCGGCCCGTCTGGCCGATCTGTCTCTCTTCGCCGCTCTCCGGGTCTGCCGTCGACCATGAGCAGCGGTCCTCCCATTCCTACCTTCTCCTTCTCCTTCTCGGACTCCTCCAGCGACCCCGATCTCCACCCCGATCTCCATCAGATGCAGGCCATCCTAGATCGACTGGCTCGGCGGGAGGATATTCCGGATGATTGGTGGGCGGCAGCTGGTCTGTCGCGCATCATCGGTCGTGGCCTCCGTGCTAGCGCTAATATGACCGAAAACGGCGCTGAAAGCGCGCCCCGTCCTGCTCGCTGAGCAGAGCAGGATACCTTTTTCCTTGTTAGCCGGTGTTGGAAAACGAGTGTTTATGACGGCGTTTTAATGAAGTGATATCTCTGACCGGGTTGGGTGTGTATGGGCGTTTTAATAATTCCGGACACCGCTACGATCTGGTCTTACATTTGGGCCTGTTGGTTTGTACTCGGGGTTTTCAATACTTCGATTGTCTCAGCGGTGATTCTCGTGTTCATATCTTTGCATAACCGCCAATGATTAGAGCGCAGCCACCGATAAAAGAACAAAAGAACCAGCTATGATTTTCTCTTCATTTTCTCTTCTGGTAAACCACGTATAAATCTATCCAATAGGTAATTACTGCTTAACTGCCATGCTGCTCTGTAGTTAACTAGTCCCTCGGTGGGAACTCACTGAATGTGACGTATTGCGCCTCGGAGCACAGTCGTCCCCACACCGGAATCATTCACCCCGCCAGCAAGGACAAATTATTCCCTCGACGAACTGCATCAATGGATTGAATGACTAACTGCATCGACTACTGAATCCCTGTTCGGCACTGCCAAAACCCTGCCCTGGATTATCTGCGAGACTCTGACGATCACCACCGCCATCCCTGTGCAACACACCTCGGGAAGCTAGCTCATTGTTGAGCCCATTGAGTTGGCCGATCATCGACTGCGGACTATTTTGGACCTTATTGTCTGTCTCCTTCAGCTTTGGAATGACCACGACCGGCCACATGGATGAGCAGGTTGACCGTCTGGTCAAGAAGACCTGGGGTGAGTTTGTTTTGTGTGGATTGAATTGAAGGGAATCGGACCCTCACGCGAGTCATGCATGGTATCTTTTTTACCATGAAAGCTTGCGCGAGAGAAACAAAAGTCCCCCCGTTGCTTCAATCCATCCCTTCGCTACTTTTCATATATCTAATTATACGCTACAGCCAAATTCACCTCCACTCCCTCCAATGCCCGCCTAATGATAGCCGTCAGCGGCATCCCAGGCTCGGGCAAAACCGAACTAGCGAGCCTGATGTCCCAGCGCATAAACCAGCTCTATGCCCACGAGAACCCATCCACGCCAACCCCAATCGCCACCGCGCTCCCAATGGACGGGTACCACCTCACGCGCGCCCAGCTAGCCGCAATGCCAGACCCAGTGTACGCCGCTGCCCGGCGCGGGGCGGCATTTACCTTTGACGGTGCCAAATTTCTGGATCTTGTGCAGAAACTGCGGGAGCCTTTGACGGCTTCTTCCACGACGCAGTACGCGCCGAGTTTCGATCATGCGACCAAGGACCCTGTTGATGATGATATTCCGATCCCTGTCACCTGTCGGGTTATTTTCTTTGAAGGGAACTATCTCAGTTTGGATAAGGAGCCATGGAATCGGGCTGCGGGGCTTATGGATGAGTTGTGGTTTGTGAACGTGGATTTTGAGGTTGCGAGGCTCAGGCTTATTAGGAGGCATGTTAAGGCGGGCATTGCGAGGGATGAAGCTGAGGCGGATAAACGGGCCAGAGAGAATGATCTTGTTAATGGGAGGGAGATTGTTGATTGTCGGATGCAAGTGCAGGAGGTTGTTGATAGTCGGTATGATCCTGCATGGGAGAGGTTATAGAGGTAGTATTATCGACTGGTGAGATTGATATTTAAGAAACTATTTACTTCATATTGTTCATAAGGGAATCTGTTTTTAATCCTTACTATAGGTGCGAGCCAACATTAAATATTACCCATACATCATTTCCAGAGGGAGGTAACTCTTTAGCTCTACTACGCTTTCTGAAGGTCCCTCACAAAAGGTCAGAATTTAGATCAGAGTAATAATTACAATCTTTAGGGAATTTGTTTTAAGATTCCATTCTTGCAAGCTCCCTAATATCATTCGAGGTGGTCCAATCCGTGCCACACTGCTTCATCGTTCCTAGTAGCCTACAACGCCCCTTCCTTCTCAAGAAGTGCATTGCCCAGCAACACATTGGAGTCCTCCATCTGAAGGTACTGGACAATCCTGGGAACTTGTCCATACAAATAGCACTATACAGAGTTAGTAACCAATTTGCGTCCTAGCTCTTATGACCTCAGATCTTTAGGCCTCTATAGCTAGAAGAGCGCACTACCAGCGTCTAGCGAACTTACCCTCAGTTTGATATATATCCGGTTGCGGTTGTAGAGCACATTCGACCTACACGAATAATACGTTAGTAGGCACAACTAATAGACAATAAATAGTGAAGAGGGCCCGTAGACACCCGCCCCCACATGTTGGAACCCTCACTAGCGAGAACCACATTTGGGGAGAGGTACTATGTAGTAAACCTTGCAAGAATCAAACTTACCACATTGCCCCCGTCGCACTGGCAGTCAAACTGGACACTGCCATCACAGGTTTCCCCTGGGACACCGCAGGCGACCGCGGAGCTAGAGAAGACAGCCGCACCTAGAAATATCGGGATAGAAAACTTCATGATCGCGATGAGCACTATTCGGTAAAAAGTATAGAATAATATCAGGTTGTGAAGGAAGACAAGGACAAGCTCCCTACGATAAGCGAATAATTGAGGAATCTGTAGTGGTAAATGTCAAAGACCAATCGTCGTATGCCTTAGGAGGAGGGTCCAATTTATGTTGCCATCTGGCCCTCTTTAACTAACTACTTAGTTAGTTACCCCGGGTTAGGAAGTTTTAATTATAGATACAAAATAAACCCCGGGAGACTCAATAAGGAGAATATACCGTGTCCAGGATCGGTTGCCCCATAAGCAAATGCAGCTACAAGGGGCCATTTAAGCATAGTCGCAATTAGTGTTGCCCCTCGTGTTTAAATCAGTAGGTACAACGTCCTAAAATAGATGGGCAAACCGCGAAGGAATCAATCTCTGACCCTGAGAATGAATGTAGAGCAAATCATAGGCAATAGCTATTTACACAACAAATCATTTGCTGTAAGTCAAAGAAGCGACTCTTTTGCACTGTAGACTGCTGTGGCCAGGAGTTCAGTCTGTACAACCCGGTCAGATTTGTTTTGGCCCACTTTTGGCCCACTTTTGGCCCACTTTTGGCCCACTTTTGGCCCTCTCTTGGCCCTCTCTTGGCTCCCAGGTTTCGGGCTTAGACGCGACTGATGACGCTAATAGACACCTTTATGAAACCCTTAGTTATTATATATAAGCCATTACTCTTGCTTGGCTCGTTAACTCAAAGCTAAGGAAGGTACAACTACCATTTGTGCCGGCGCCGCTGGATTCGGCTCCTCGCCCGTTGTGGTTTGGCGCCCGCCAGCACCGCCCCAGTTCGGGTTTAGTGCTTCCTGGAGAGGTTTAGCGCTGTCGGCCAATCCGCGCTATCCCGGAACGGTCCTGCCGTCCCAGACCGCCTGCCTCCGCAGCCGCCCCAACTATATAAACACCCGGTGCGTCGCTCGACCACCGGCGCCCCCTTCTCGCTCCATTTTCCTCCCACCCGGCCGTCTGCTCGGCGTCGTGCCTGCGAAACGATACGGTATTTCCGGATCACACGGCACCGCACCCCTGCCCAGCTGAAACCCTCGTCGTCATCTGCGCGCCGTATCCCCACTGGCTGGTCGTACGCTGCTGATCGGTCTGTCCTAATCCCTCTGCTGTTACAATCCATTTCTCGAGAAGTCTACGAAATGTGGTCGCCTCTGTTCTCCCTAAATTTCGCTACATCCCTAGATTCTGGCTATACGTGGTGGCCACCACTTCCCACGATCGACTGACGGGACATGTCTTGCTGGACGACATGATCAGACCTGCGATGCCTTCGAAGACCTTACGATGCGACATTCTCCGAGCTGGTTCTCATGCTGAGCGCCGATCGCGATATGCACTGCCTCAATGCGCCTCCTTCGTCATGGCTATACATCATGATTCCGAGACGATGACCAACAATTGCCTCACTGTCTCACTAGTCCACGAAAGCCATTGGCCCTTTGATTGCCTTGAGTGGGCTATCGCTGCCGGGGTTACGACGTGGACTGACCTCACTGGATGATTCTCCCAACGCCAAGCGGTCCCCTTGCCCGTCCCCGGGTCCCGGCCCCTTCACAATGGCAGACTTTTGACGAGGCGCAGTACGGCCGGATGGATGAATCCATCAGTTGGCCGTGTGGATACATGACAAGCTGGAATTGCTTTGTCCAATGGAAAAAATGCCGCATGAAGTGGTACCAATTCGCGTGATACATCTCCGTGTCCTCTTTCGTGGGTGGTGAGACGAGAGAGTCGTGATGTCAAAGTAGGGGTGCTTTGCGCCCCATGACCCTGCGAGGCGACTAGAAAAGCCACAAGGGGAAGCCGGCCGAATATAAAGAGGCCTGTTGGGCTTTAGATTGACATCAAGAGTGCCACCTTTTCAGACCAGCGCTTGATCCCTTATATTATTCTCGTACATCCTGTTCAATTGTTTCTGAGGCCTTCCGCATGATGATCGCGGTCAATCTGGACGATATCATCCATTATCACCCGCCTGCTTCTAAACACCATTTCACACCGCCGCAAGCATCTGGCTTTGTCCCGCATTACCCTTCGCCGTCGGCTTCAGACACATTCCCTCTGACCCATCAGGTTCCTCCATACCTTACGCAGTCCATTTTTCCATCCTCCGTACATTCTCGTGGCCTACAAGACCATGCCCAAAACCTGCAGTTCGTGACCTCTCATTCATCCGGTGAAACGCAATATTCACCGTTCAATACTGGCCTTCCTAAGCAGTCGGCCATTGAGAACTCGAACGAATTTGACAAAGAATTATTGAATCCCGATACAGCAAGAAAGGACAGCTTGGTCAAGTCAGATATATACTGGATGGATGGAAAAGCACAAAATGGCTCTGTTGATGGTAATAGAGGACGGGAATCACATGGCCCTTATAATGATAGTTCGTGAGCCCGATTGCCCATCTGAATCCATATTCGGAGGGTTTCCTTTACCCTCAAAGAGAAAAGAGAGAAAGAAGGGGACTAATGCTGACTTTGCTTCTTAATACTAGACTTTTGGGACGATGCCGAGGATGCCCTTCTCGAGCCTAGTTTACAGCCCATCTTTGAGGATCTAGCTCTATGGGAAGATATTTCCGATTCGTCACCGGCTGTTAGGTTCTATTCGTCGGCGGAATGTCCTGGATCTATGCCCTAGTTTCCGGCACCGGCTCAAATAATCTCTAGCCAGACAGACTTAAATCTTTTGATGGGTAAGTAGACTCGAACGGGCCTAATCAATAGAGTCACTCATTTATTAGAATACAGACTAGGCCGCGGTGGACGTCGTGTTGGCTCAAGTCTCCGCTTGTGATAAAATGGAGAACAGCATGGTAGCCGATAAAAAGAATTCAATGTCTATGAGCTAAGACAACGTCATTCGCCAAGGAAATTCACTATCCCATCAGCTCGACTATCTACATGAAGTTGCTAAAGAGAATCTTCATCCGTCAACTTACGGTTGCCAGCGGGAAAGCGCGGATACGGAAAATCCAAGCAGTAACCAGCCTATCACTAGAAACGAATGTATCACGGAAGAAGCCAAGGCCTATGCAACCACATCCGACAACAATAAGGTGCTAAGGCACCACGATGATGGCAGCCATGCAACGTCCTACCAGTTCGACGCAAATAAGACATCGCTTCCCCGTGTCTCACCTCCCCCCGCAACAACATGATGGACCGGCATCTAGGGCCGCACAGACAGCCTCGCCAGAAGCCCAGTCCAGATCCTCTCCACCTTTAGCGGTAGTCCTCAGGCCGCGCTCTCGAGAGTCGCGCACCAAAGGACTTCGTTCAAGTTGTCCGGGAAAAAGGAAGGATCGACCCCCGCCGCTTTGTTGTGATGACAATGATGACCCCGACGACCCTAACGACTAGGACTATACTGAAGAGAGCGGCGATGATGTTTGTCAAGGTGTTTCTCATCTAGCCAAAAAACCAAGACGGGCTGCTACCACGAGAGTGACGCCTGTACGTATGCAGTACGAAGCTGCATGTCGCTCCCCTGCAGTAGTGACGCAGGCCGACGTATCCGTGGATCAAGGTTGCTCCTCGACAAGTCTCTATGACATCGAAACCATTCCTATCCGAGGTTTTCTCACGCGGCAGATATTCTTATCGAGGGTCGTATACTCATTTACCATTGAAGAGCAACGGGAACATTCTTGTTCTCATGGATCAGGCGAAGTTCCAGAAATTAGATGTGAGAGCCGACATTTTAAGGCTCTCGCTTCCAAAGAGTCTCAGGCGGTGAACACAAGCAAGGGAACCCGATTCCTTCCCGACGACGATAAGCTCCTAATTGAGCTGAAGGAGGAGCGGAATCTACCCTGGAGTCGGATCGTAGAGTATTTTCCACGGAGATCGAAAGGTTCTCTCCAAGTCCGCTACAGTACGAAACTCAAGGATCGCGGAATCAAAAGCCGACGACAAAAACCAAACACGACGCCTCAATCTCCAGGAACTAGTAAACGCTCGCCCCGTAAGGCGTTCGACTTGTGCCAGGGTTCGCGGACGGCTAGTGGCAGGCGTGCTAGGCCCGCCGCACCGAGACAACGATGCGGTCCGACCAGAACCAGACGCGTGGTGGACCGCTTTTCGCCCGTTTAATCCGGATGCGAGCCATATGAGAGAAATAGCAAGTTTCAAGATAACGCGATATGATCTGACGATAAGGGGTTGACTTGAAAAATACAAGCCACGAAACCTCAAAATATTCCAAATACAGACCTAGCAATCTTCCTATTCAACGTACACAATTATGCCTGCAAATCACTCAGCCTAGTTAAATTGGTTGCTAGTATACAATTTACGGGCATCGGCTCACTGTTGTTCCTCTTTGTAGTCGATCGTAATCTATCCATCTCATTTCATCATGTGACTGGAACCCGCTTTTCTGGACCTCAAGTAAGTGCTGCGAAAAAATCCCGAAAGCATCTCTCTCCAACACGTTGACGCACCTCAAGATTCAATCGTTTGACAAATATTTCCTACTTGTAAAATTGTTGCTGATGGATATAGGACGGCACGACTGTAAATGAATTCGATCCAAATGCCACGTCCCATATCGAGATTGTCGAAGTGCGTCGATATTACCCTCCGGGGGTTTCAGAGATCATCGGTCGCGGTGGCGAGTGCTTCATCGGTGCCATCGATGATTCTACTCTTATGAAATACCCATGTGTCCCTGGCAATTATGAAAACATTCATACAGAGGCTCAACTTCTTGAGGTCCTTGGAAATCATCCCCGAATCATCGCATTAAAAGGCCGGACGGAACATGGTCTTATTCTACAGCGTGCCTCAAACGGTTCAACGGGAGCAGTGTGGGTGGGCCAAAGTTAGACGGAGGGCACAGATAATGATGTGCTTTGGTTGTGCAGTGCAGTTGACAAACTTGGTGGTATAGACGAATCGAATACATATCTTTGATCTTCAAGGAGGGTCTAGAATAAGTTAGACTTGGTCGAAAGATTTGATTAGTCAGTAAAGGTACCCCGGCTTAGTTGAGGTAATGTGCGACTATTAACTGAAAAACTTGGTGAAAATACATATGTCTACATGTCAAGTCTTCGTGTCGTGCATCACGCTCAGAGAACAGACAAAATAAAAAAACCATCTATAGAATATTGGCGAGCCTCCGGTTTTTTTTTAATGATTTCAACCTGACTCGAACCTCATCTAGAGGAATCAGTGCCCCCCTGACTTGCGACTGGCGTTCATCGCGGTTGCGAACGTTAACCGTTCGGGTTCGCTGCTCTTCAGCGCCGACGACTGCCGGTAGTAAGCAACCGAATTTGACAACAAAGATCGCACTGACTCGACTCACCAAAGATAAAATTGTACTGTTCCTCTTGTCCGCAGCGGATCTTCTTATTCAACGTGTGGCCTCGAACATCTATGTCAACATGTAGTTTGTCCGCGCGTAGAATACGCTGTAGCTCTTCCGCATAACGATTCTGCGCACTAGTCACCGGTAAAATGAGGATCTGACGCGGACTAATCCAGAAAGGCCATTTGCCAGCGAAATGCTCAATGAGAATCCCAATAAAACGCTCGAAACTTCCAATGATTGCCCGATGGATGACGACTGGGCGATCAGCGCGGCCCCCTTTGTCGGTGGCATAACTCATTTGAAAATTCATGGCTGCCTGGTAGTCCAGCTGGATGGTGGCACACTGTAACTGGCGCTGAAGTGCGTCAGCTATCGTGATGTCAATCTTCGGTCCATAGAACGCTCCGTCGCCTGGGTTAACGGTCCAGTCATTTCCCTTGAAACGGGTTAGAGCTTTGCGAAGTTGTTCTTCGGCTTCGTTCCAGGTGTCGATGTCTCCTAGGTACTTGGGTGGTCGAGTAGACAGCGTCAAGTTAAATGTGAAACCAAAGAGGTCATAGACGTGCTTCAGAAAATCAAAGATGCCTTCAATCTCAGACGTTATCTGCAGAGAGTACTAGCAAGATCCTAGATGACAACTTGGGAGTTCTTCAGTTACTTACCTGGTCTAGTCGGCAGATGATATGACCGTCATCCTGCTGGAACTTCCTCACGCGAGTTAAGCCGTGAAGCGCCCCTGAGGCCTCGTTGCGATGTAAGACGCCAAAATCAGCGACCCGAAGAGGTAACTCGCGGTAGCTGCGATCCTTATGTGTATACAGCAAAAAGTGCCCAGGGCAATTCATAGGTTTGAGAGCCCATTCTCTGCGTCCCAGGTTGATCCGGAACATATCTTCCTTGTAGTGTGCCCAGTGACCAGAGGTTTTCCATAAGCTGGCATCGTACATGTTCGGAGTCTGCACCTCGTCGTATCCTCGCAGGTGGTATTCTGTTCGCAGGAGTTTCTGTAGTGCGTTGAATACCCTTACACCTCGTGGAAGTAGGAAGGGGGACCCGGGTGAAAGTTCATGAAATAAAAATAATTCCTGCTTTTTGCCAATCTTCAAGTGGTGACCATTTCGCGCTTCTTCCAGGAATTTGAGGTGTTCCTGCAAGAGACTCTTTTCCGGGAAAGCAATACCGCTAATGCGCTGTAGTGAATCCTGATTTTGGTGACCCAGAAAATAGGCAGAGGAGCTCTATGAGAAAGATCAATGAAGGAATATCCAGAGGTACAGAAACTTGTTCTTACCTGGGTGGCCTTAAAGGCCTTGATCATGGCCATCTCTGGGATATGCGGGCCACAAGAGATGTCTACCAAAGTCCCAGAACGGTATACAATGGCTGTCTCTCCTTCAACCAGCTGGTTAATGGCATGAAGTTTGTATCTGTTGTAGGAAAACATCCGCTGGAGTATTTCTTTGGAAACTTCCAGTCGGTCAAAACCTCGTCCTTCCTGGGCTATTTGGCTGATTCTCTTGTTCAGCAACTCTCGGTCGACATTGGTTACAGCGCGTCTGGAGAATATTAGCATCCGTTCGATATGCCTGGTCTGCCAATACATACTCTCCGGGGATATCCATATCGCAGAAGAAACCTTGAGCAGTGGGTGTGTTTTCAGCAAGGAGACAATGAAACTCTTGCTCACAAACCTCTGCCAGGCAGCTGGCACACGAGCGCCAGAACGTCTGCCGACCTTCCGAGTGGTCAAAGAGCAAAAGCGCCACGATGCAGTCCCTTTCTAAGGGCCGACTGAGGTCCCATAGTTTGTGTCCGTCTACCTTGGCAACAACAACCTTGCTGCGACAGTCTTCCGGAAAATGAGACAGCAGCGATGCAGGCGTGGACAGCCACGAAGTTGCATTGACGACCAAGGGAGATCTTTTGCCAATGCTCACAGTCACTGTAATCTCCGTGCGAGGCTTGCTTTCCAGTTCCTTGACATATTGAACCCACATATCATCAAATAATTGGTTTCTTGCAAGGATGAAATCTGGCAACCCCGGTGCTTCACGTTCAGTATACAGCCACGGCAGCTCATTTCGATAGATAAGTTGGTGAGTGAGCCGAACATCTTTTACATGAGCCGTGTGATTCGCACCGTTCCGGTCGACGGCAATACAGCTCATCCACGGCGCCCGCGCCTGGCATCCAGGGAGCTGTGGCACTAGGCAGATGGACAGCTTGGCGGTTCCGTAAGAAGGATGAATGGACAGTCGGATGTGATTTGGCATCACAGCACGAATGAGGTGACCAAATCCCTCAGACCGAGCCATCATATGAAGAGCCAAGTTCGACATATCCTTAATATATTCTTTCCGGCTAGCGGCGTGCTTGCACAAAGACGTGTTCTCCAAATCGATCTTGACAAAGGTCTTCATTCCACTGTAAGTCAGCCGAGAGTCTGGGTCCTCCTCGATGAGCTGCCGGATGGACGCTATAGGCTGGCAGAATTGATCCTTGATCATGTTGCGGCAGGAATCGATGGTTTGGTAGAAGCCATTCTCAGTTAGCGTTCCCTCGTCGATCACTCCCAGGATCTCCATGGCATGAAGCACCCTTAGATTGTGGTCAAAATTGTGTTTCTTCACCATCGCTCGAACGGCTTGCCCGTAGTTCCACACCTCTGAATCGCTGATATTGAGGAGATCTGATTCATCCCCGTCAGTGCTAGCGGTCTTGACCCTGTTTCGATCTACTAACCGTTGAAGACTACACCATCTGTGGCGATGGTGATTTCTGCTCCGGGACTGTAAACCTTGCGAATATCGAGGCAGATCTGGTTCAGTCGAGAAAGGCCGAGATATTCTGCGTAATCGGGCAGCACCCCGAGCACCTTGTCGAGATTGGACTACAGGGGAATGAGTCTGCGATCCCAATTCCAGTTAGTTTTTCACGTACCGATTTGAACGGAAATGCAGGAAGAACCATCCGAACTGGTTCGTTCGCATGAATCCAGTGTAGAGCGTTCCCTTTGAATTTCTCTCGGCCCGGCCAGTACGAGTGCCCGCAGCCAGAATCGTCCTCCGGCCGCCAGAAGACAGCCTGAAGCATGTCCATTACTTCGTCGGCCACCTTGTCGGAGACCTTTGGTGTGTGAACCCCTACATAGTGTGAGTTATCAGAACGACGTGAGGAACGTTAATGCCAAACCATTTTCTAGCTCTGCCTCCACAGCTCCATTACTTGGTGTCACGTACTGAATACCCCGTGCAGTTAAGGAAAGAAACTCCCCAGGGTTGAGTACTCTGGTATGTGTCATAGCTTTGTGCTGTGTTCTGTCTCTTCTGCTTGTCAATGCTCACATATCCATACAGGCGGACCTTGACTTAAAAACACCAACAGTGAGACACATTGATTATAGCCCGCACTAGACCCCCCTCTCCCAGCTCTTAACTTCTGTACTGATCCTGCATTCCTGGGGTTTTACGTTTGCTCCTTCAATCCTCGATCTGCAGTCCATATGCACTCTAACTGGCCGTGGCGGCCCAGGCCACTCCCCGTGTTCCTAGATGAACTGAGAACCTTGGTTTCCATGGTACTTGTAGTATGCAGAGCAGTTTTGAAGAAGCCTAAACACCTCAGTCCAAGTGGACCCTATATTTCAGGATCGCCCTGGTGGTACCCGTGCGTATGATAGTGGAGGAACACCGGGATCTTTCCTCGACCGGTCGACCAGCCGGGCGAAGCCGTGCAGCAAATTCAGTACCATGTTGCGCCTTCCAAGCTGAAGTTGAAGTATCCCAGAGAATTGTGTTTGTTAGACGATCCTAGCATAGTTCTACGGGTCATTTATAATTTGATCACGTTCAGAAAAGAAGATTTCATCTATGTCAGGACTTCCATCGAAACTATATCTTCGCGACTGGCTAAGTTTGTACCACTATTTACTGCTGTTTCTGCTGGTACTGCCGAACCTTGGCCAAGAAGCTCTGGCTGAATTGCGCATCGACAAATTCTTCAATGCGCGTGATCTTGTCCCCCGTCTCGTTAAACGTCAAGAAGAAAGCGTACTCGTTCTTGTATGGTGCAACAGGCGAGTCACCCACTCCAGAGGCATGCACGGCCGCCATGTGGTGCTCGGGATCGTTCACAATCTTATGGATGGTGGTCTGCCCGTAGTCAGAATGTTATGAGTGAGATGCCGGGAACAGACCATCTTACCTCAAAACGATGCATTATCTTCTGCAGCGGACCAAAAAACTCCCGGTATTCCTCGTTATTCTTGGAAGGGCGGTTGAGGGAGGTCGGGAGGATGATGTGGATGCACTCGTTGGCGCGGACGCGGAGCACGGCATCGGCTGTGTACTCGTTGTAGCCCTCAAACAAGGCCTTGGCCGTGCGGATCTGATTCTCGGCGACACACATGATAGTCTTTAGATGCGATGCAAATAGAATGAGATGAAATAGAGTCAGGGGATGACGGTATGCTAGTTGACTCCTCACTTCGTGAGGCTTTGCTTAATATATAGGAGAGACTAAACATGCAAAAGACAAACATAGACCCTGAATGAGTATAATATTACAAATAAATGCCAGAATCCTGAAATCCCTTATTCCCTCCATTGCCCTCGGTGATCCTACAATCCCTCATTCCTGCATGAGCCCACATGCTAGTTCCCCACTCTTGGCCAAGCGACAAATTTCTTTTTCCCGTGTAGACAGTGGTTATTACTCGCCCTTACAATGCCCAGCTAGCAAAACGATTGTGAATATCCAACTTTGGTATTTACCATCCTAACCAAAGAAATTGCGCGAAAAGTCATTGGTCGACTGGAGCTAGTGGCACTTACAACGCTCCCAGCTTAGGTTTGTTCATATACATATGTTCTCTCTTTCTCTCTCTCGGAAACTTCACATACTGCGTCACTCATAACGACAACTACAACCTTAATGATGCAATTAAGCACAGGTTCTGTTTCCCGACTCCCAAGCTCATAAGCCCATACCGTCAGCGAGGAATCAAGGTACATGACAATCCAACTGTAACGTGTAGCTCCATATGTGATATTATAAACTGCTATAAATGGCTGAGGGATATTACATGTTCCTAAACTAGCCAACCTTCAAATTTGACATCTCCATATATCTAGGGGAATGGTATGCAGCTCTCCCCATGCCTACTCTTCCGTGGGTGCAAATCGGGAGATTTGCCGCAGCGTTCTGCTGTACTTCATAAACAAGAAGGGGACGGGCAAGGCCAAGCAGGAGATCCCACCGAGCACAGTTGATGCCGGGCCAACCCCCAGGTTGAGGAACATGGGCCTCGCTGCCAAGGGCAGTCCACAGGCCATCAGGCTTCTAAGCAAGTTGTTGGCCGAAACCGCACTGGCAGCATATGGCCCATAGGTATCTACCAGGAAATTGAGACATTGCTGGAAGACAATGTTGAAGCCGGCACCAATAAACCCTACTTTGATCAGTCAAGCTAGTGTCTCTTTCATCGCCAGAACGTACCAGCTGCCACCACGGGCGATGCCAATGGATATCTGGGAACTGCGGTCCACCCAAACCAGAACAGTCCTATCGAAAAGAGAAGACCGCCTATAATCATGGGCGGCAGGCGTCCTTCAGGAACCGCCCGTCCCTGGTTTTTCTGGACGGCACGCACATATAGAGGCTGGTTTGCAAGATTTACAAGCAATGCACAGATGACACCCACTAGCAGGCCTAGAAATGGGAGCGTTGAGATAACTAAGTTTAAGTTGCGGTCCTCTTTGAAGACTATAGGGAAAACTTCGAGCATCAGGAACAACAATCCGTAAATGAATGAGGCATAGAGCGCAATTGTAGTCACCATCGGCTCAGTAAAGAACATCCTGCAGGCCAGTGAGTCAACGTATGTATAGTGTAGAAGTTCTAACTGTGCCCTTACTTTAAAGGCCGACTCAGATGTTTCGTGACTATGTTATTCAAATTAATCTTTTCTGTCTCCGCCGGGTGCCAGTATCGCAGATCTCCAGTAGCCTGGCGCATGCCACGAGCCTTGTGCCGTAAAAGGACAGGCGCGTACGTCTCAGGCAAAAAGAAGATTGCGACAGTCCAGACAGTATAGACAATGATTGCTTCCATGTATTCGGTCCCTGCACCCAAGTTAGTATTTATCTTCTGTCACTCAACATTACATACATCGCCATCCAAGGTTTGGGTTAACCGTCAAAGACGCACCAATCACTGGCGCGATAGTTGGCCCTCCAACCACACAGAGCGCTAGGAATGCCATTGGGACACCCCTAGTGCGCGGATCATAAATGTCTCCCAATGCGGCTGACACGTTGCTGATGGGAGCAGACCCAAAGAGACCACTTAGGAAACGAGTGATGAATATGCTGGCGGCGTTTTTACTCACGGCCGTTCCGATGCTCAACAAGCCTAGTGCGAAGACCGGCGGCAGCATAGACAATCGACGACCATATACCTCGCTGATCGGAGCCCAGACGAGCGGGCCAAATGCGTACCCTACGACCGGTTAGTGGCGAGGGTCATGTCTCAGAAAGGAGAACGGGAGAGAGACTGACCAAGAACAAAGAGAGATAGGGTAAGGGCTGTTGCTTCCATGCTGACCCCAAGGTAATCCGCCAGGTCTGGCTGTGCAGGCGACATAATCGATGACCCCAACGAACCGATGAATGCCAACATGCTCATTTCCAAGGTGAGCCACGCCTTGTAACAGGGGTGGAAGTTTTTGGGGTTCTTCGGGTCGCTGTCCTCGAATCGGACCAGGTAGGCGCTTTCAGAGATTTGTTCTCGACTGACATCGCTAGATGGCTGCGCATCATTCTCCAGGCCTGTGTCGGAGGGCTGTTTCGCCGGATGGACTTCTTCCAGCATAGGATTTTGCATTGTGCTTGCCAAAATTGGCAGCGTCTAGCCTGTAAACGGACGGTGGAGAGTGGGCTTCAGCCTCCTTAAAAAGTCGGGATTTCCCTTAGTTTGAGTTTAACTTCCAGGGTCCTCGATCCTAGCGCCCTCCTTTTTGTCCAACCAAGTCCACTGGCTTTTAAGGGCAAAATAATTTGTCGTAGCATCTGCTATTGACGGAGACATGCTTTAGTCAATTCCCCATAGTACATGCCACTCTTTTCGTCCTGACGGTAGAGTCACTCGATTTAGCATCCTCAATTCCCACAAGTTGACACCTTCAACTTGGCAACCATGGGACAACCATGTTAGTTTCATCTGTCAGCAACATCATGATTTGTGTACCTCCTTCCTGTCCCTAGCACATCATTCACTCGAACTATGAAGGACTAATCACTGTCCCTATCCACAAGTCTTTTACTCAGGAAATGGCACGGACAGCAGCATTCACAATGCCTCCTCGGCGGCGGGAAGCCACCCCTTGTCATTCTAATACTGACCCATCCGATACTTGTCATATTCAGCTTAAGTTACATAGAATTCTACAGTACGATCAACAAATTGTTTTAATACTTGTAATACGCATATGTACATCATTGTTCTTGACGCTCAGAGTCTGGACTTTACTGAAAGAATACATCCGTCCACCCACCCTACAGCCCATGCACGTCTACGGAAATTACCTTTCCAGGCTCATTAAATGAGATAGTAGCAGGCTCCGAGATGTGCCCTGAAGTGGTGAGGAACAAAGTGGTTGCGTTCGAGTCAACACCAAATTGAGCGGACGTGACACCGGCAAGTTCCTTACGATTGACTCCGCCGTCAAAGACATTATATCTCCCATCTGCTCGGATGTAGAGGACCTGGTTGGATCCAGCGACGAATGCCCGGTCATCTGGTAAAACGGTGAAGCCATCGGGCAAGGGGACAGCATTGGAAACGTTGGCCACTATCTCGAATGGGCCGGCCGTGGTGCCATTCGGGTGGAGCCCGACACGGCAGAAAAGGCCTTTGCTGCTGTTCGTGTAATAAATGAATCTCCCCACGCGCTGGATTCCGTTGATACCATTCGGGAAGCTCGGAGTGGCATTCATGGTTGCATGATCCTGAAGCAGCGGCTGGGCCGAGCCACTGGCCAGATGGATGCCGTACACCAGGCCCCGTTGCGAGTCACTCGCCAGAAGGATGGGTGAGGGTGAATCCAACATGGTAAGCTTGTTTAAGAACTTGGCATCTGGGACGTCGATCGACTGGCCGATAGCCACGCGACCGTGCGTGAAATCTAGGAGGTGGATGGCGAAGGACCCCACGACCCCGCTAAACCCAGGGCCTATGTTCCCAGTGGATACGGCAAAGACATCGATGTCGACCTGTGTGATCCCCAAGGCGCTTGTCCGGTTGAACTGGGCAATTATTTCAGCGGAGCCATTTGCCTGAAACGGATTGATCTGCCAAACTTCGGCGGCTGGAGACGGCGTGGTGAAGAGGATCTTGCCATTTGGCCGCACCACAAGGTCCTCGATCTCGACCGCACTGCCGAATTGGAAGATAGGTGACGGTGGTCCGGCGGTCACATCGGAAGGGAACGTTAATCGCGAGCAAGTCGAGAGAGTGAAGCAAGCTTTGAGGGCAAATGCAAGGAAGAGGAGTCTCATAGCGAAATGCGAGCCTCGACTGTATTTTTGAGGGTGGATAATGCACGGCTGACGGCCACGCAGACCACATAAGTCATTGCATATAAATATTAGGGGCGGATAGCGTCCGTGGAGGTTGCCAGAAACCGGCCAGACGGCTTTGCAAGATGCTGTTCCGGCAATCCTCGATCCTGCAATCCTCGATCCTGCAATCCTCGATCCTGCAATCCCGTATTCCTGCAAGCACAAACGTGGATCATTAACAAAGTTTGAAACTCCACGCTGGGACGATCAGTGGGTCATCGTTTATTGGTAGACAGGCAATGTGGGTGTCGATTATTAGTTCCGATCTCGTGTCTCGTCTGTTCTTCTGTCTTCGGGACTGTTCACTGGAGGCGTTCTATGACGATGAACCTCTGGACATGTACGTTATTGCTATATTTCACGAAATAAGAACCCAATTCTAATAAATCTGATAACTAATCAATGTAGAGAGTATCTTCAATCAGGTATACCAACTTCTCCCCAGAGACAGCCCCTTCCTCCAACTCTTTCAGACCCTCCAGGACGCCCTGCAGGCCACTCTTCCCAACACGGACCTGATGCACTTGGAGCTTGCCTTGGGCGAGCAAATTCCGCGCCATTTTCCAAAAGGTCTGCTGCCACTGCGCATGTGCCTGATTGTCCCGCGACCATTTGCCTGCTTTTTCATAGTCCTCTCCGATTCCAACATATGCCATGGTAGCAGTGTATTTCACATCATCACGAGAAAGTTTGGGGCCACGGATGGTACCAAAGCGCGCACCGGGACAACTTGTAAGCGCCTCTGCGCAGGTTCGGGCGGCGTCATCGGTGCCAATGCAGTCCCAGGCATATCGAAGGCGGTTTTGGGTGTAATCATTGATCTTCTGCCCGACCTCTGGGTCCTTGTAGTCAAAAGCCTCGTTCGCTCCGCGCTGCCGGACAAGGCCGAAGTTTCTTGGGGAACAGGTCGTAATGACAGTATAGCCAGCCCTGCAATTTGATAAGTTACTGAATATGAAGAAAGTAACGGAGGGTACCAGACTCTTTGGCCAGCTGGATCCCCAAGGTCCCCGTTGCGGAACTTCCACCATAGATAAGCAGCGGCTCTGAGGTCTCAACAGGACTGGAAGGGACATTTAGTCCCAGACCGTAACCTGGCTCAAAAAGGCCCTGGGCCACCGTCGTGATTCCGCAACCAAGTGTCGCCGCTTCCTCAAAGGACAGACCGTCCGGGACCTTCATGGCCGTGGAGAGCGGTGCAACCAGGTACTCGGCAAAGGATCCATCCTCAGGGTTGCTGTAGTTGCCGCCGTGCACAAAGCCGCAGATGCGATCACCTTTGTTCCACTCGGTGGAATTCGTCTGTTCAACTGTGCCTGCGTAGTCCACGCCCAGCACACATCCCTCCCGTGCCATTCCGAACGAAACGTGTTTCCAGTCTGTCGGGTTGAGGGCGACAGCCGCCACTTTGACAAGAGCAGTGTTCTGGCGAAGCTGAGGCAGGGGCCTGTCGGTGACAAGACGGGCCTGTTTGGGTTCAGTATAGATGACGGCCTTCATCGTGCTTAATGCGAAGTGGATGGGATGAGTAACAGTGGTGAGAGGGAAGATTTGGCCTGCCTCGAGAAATGCAGTATCATACATTTATATAGATTCAATCTGATATCAGCTATATTCACGCATCCGCCACAACTCAATCCTTTCTTTGGGGCCGTAAGTCCCGCAATCCTTGATCCCACGATCCTGCATTCCTGCATCGGTTGAGCCAAAATACCCTTCCCACAAGGTGCTGGTATGAAAATAATGGAATAGTTCAACTCACAATTAATAGTTCAATTGCTGGGTATATAAATGTTGAATTCACCAATCCGACTCTGCCGATTCATATCTGTGCCAAACTTTGAATCTGCGCTCAATACCACCACATCTAAGCATGCCGATAGCCCCGTACGACGGACAGTATGTGTTAAAGCCCGATGTGGGCTATGACGTACGCAACGTGGCAGGAAAGAGTGTAGTCATCACCGGCAGTGCCAGTGGAATGGGCAGAGAAATGGCCAAGGCTTTCGCAGCCGCTGGTGCATTTGTCACGATTGGAGACATACAGACCAGTGGCCAGCAGCTGGCTGAGGACCTCGGGGACGACCGGGCGGCTTTCGTGAAATGCGATGTGACAAACTGGGCCGATCAAGTGAATCTATTCAAGACTGCGCTCGCTTGTTCTCCGTCTCACCGAGTGGACACCGTCATTGCTCAGGCCGGAATATCTGGGAGAGATTCTCTCTACTGGGATGGTAGGTGTCCCGCATTTCCATCCAAATTTTTCCATCTGACATCCATCCATCTGACAGCCAGAAACAGACAGCAAGGCAGATGATGAGCCCATCGAACCGGACCTCAAGGTCTTACGCACGAATCTCATCGCCTGCATCTACACAGTGAAGCTGGCTCTGCATTATATGACACGGACGCCGGACCATCAGAAGCACGACCAGTGCATCATCCTGATGAGCAGCATAGCCGGATATTGTGACCAGCCGGGCACGCCAATCTACTGCGCGTCCAAACACGGAATCCGAGGCATTATGACCAGTCTTCGTCGTACTGTGCACAATCAAGGCATCCGTGTGAATATGCTCGCTCCATGGTAAGAAAATAATCAGGAATCAAGAGTCAACGTTCACTTAACTGCCTACCAGGTACGTCCGGACACCAGCAATTCCAGCGGAGAACCAGGCTCGACTATCCAACAAAGGGATTATCTGGGCAAAGTCCGCAGATGCGGCGACAGCATCCCTGCACATTGCTTCAGACTCTATGCTGAATGGTGAGAGCGTGCCTTTGCCAACAGAGGACCATGAATGCTGACTGTGGAACAGGCCGCTGTGTCGCAATCTTACCTAGAGACAATGATCCTCGAGGGTATATGGACATGGGGAAGGACGACTTTGCTGGGGATGATCTTGCATGCGAGTGGCAGAGGGCTATGATAGCGGCTAGCCACAGGGCTTAGAGGTCGATGTAGAAAACTGAGTTGATGACGCCTTTGTCGTTAGTAATCTGACAGCTATCTCATATATTGAACTAAGATACTGAGCAAGAAGACGTATTCTAGCTTAAACAGTAGAACTGATCCTGCTCTCTGCATACCAGTCAATAAATATTCTAGTGGCTCATCTTTTGTCAATTATTTCATATCTCAACCTATGACTGAAATCCATATGTCTGTTGAATCTTCAGCAAACTAGGTCTCATTCGCCCATTGGAATAGCGACGAATCCTCCTGCAGCTCATATTGGCGAGGTGCTGGTTTCGAGCCGTGGTGCGGCTGAAATGCGCGCCGCAGCGGGGGCAGTAACACTTTGGTGCATGGAGAGCCCGTTCTCGCTGATGTCGGCGCAGGTTGCTCCAACTTGAGAAAACTTTCCCGTTACACCCATGTTCCCAACACACCGGTATCTCCATGCTCGGCAGGCCCGAAATTCCTTGCTCATCGTCCATACCATGTTCTCCAAGTCTTTGCTCTGGGGGATGCGTGTCTTCAAAGGGCTGGAGAATTGCTTGAGTTAGATCGGGAAAGAGATCCTCTGCTTCAGAGGTGAGACTTTCGAGACAGAATGGATTCGGACCACTGGGGTAACGGCTAAATACTGTCAGAAACACATTTCTTCGTTTGTCTCCTGAATGGACACACCTTGTAGACTGGATAAACTGGTGGCGAGTACTACTCTGATGATTGGCCAGCCTATAATCAGCCGTTGAAGCCGTACTTGGACTCAGCATATCATGGCTTAGTTGGCCTTGTGGTAGATGACCATGAGCGGTTGGCATATCAGAGCTGAGAGCCTCTGATTGAGATGGGGGCCAGTATCTACATCACGTTAGCCATAATATTCGTTCATTCGGTCATGCTCGCTCTGCCGCTGTGGTGGTTTAAATGTACCTTGGATGAGATCGCTTCATCTCAGCTGGATATGACGCTGAGTTCAATTTGAAAAATCCAGTGCTTTCTGCAAAGCATGGATTGCTTTTGTGCAACAAGCAGGTAGACATCTCTATTGTAGCGATGTGACTTGCAACTCTGTCGTATCTGAAGAAATTTCTGCGATGGTTTTAACTAGGGATAAGTACTCGTTGAAATTCTGGTAATGAGTTAGGACTTCATATTGCAACGCAAAAACCTTCACCTTGTTAGCTGAGCGTGGAGATTCGGAAAGCTTAACCCAGAAGAAGTGATGTTCTATGGACTATGAAGTTGTGGAGTACCCGGAATAGAGTCCACCTTGCCAACTTTGTATTAGGTGAAAATGGATGTGACCATGCATCGTCAGGTACACTTACCCGCGTCTTTCAACCCTTTAGGTGATTACACCAAGACCATATATGACCAGAGTCCAGGAGTATCACGGTCCATATTTTCCAATAATATATACTTTCGCTTGCTGCTGTTGATAAAACTTATGACGCGGGCTAGGAAATCAGGAAGTAATAGAATTGCTAAGGTATGATCTGCGCCTGAAACCCCTTCCAGGTACCAAGGTACTCTGGGCGCATGGTCAAGGTTGAGCAATAGGTAGTCTGTCCCGGGCTTCCAAGGTACTTAATGGCCCATCCTTGTTCGTGTCGCCTGTCAGCCAAAGATGTGCCGTTTTCACCAGTTTCAGGGAATGGCACTTAAGTGAATACAATGGCGGAGAACACAAACCCCTGGTCAACTATTTAGCCTTCAGCTTAGTGTGGATTCACCCCTTCTCAGCATGTCTTTTCTCTACCCCTCCTCTTTTAACACCCCTATTATTGTATTATTGCTGGTCGACTGAAGTTAGTCCCTTCATCATACATTGTGTGCCTCATATCTGCTTACTGCACAACGACGGCCTACTTTTTTAAGGGTCGGCTATAGTAAGCGACGTGCCCCCAGGAGTTTATCGACTAACAACATGCACATTACCACTATTAGGAGATTTTTCGTGCTAATGCTCTGAAATACGACGACCTGTAAAACATGCATAGGGGGCTTGCTACTGTAATTAAGGAAACAAGCGTGATGTTGATGGTAATAGAGAGCACGCATATTATCACTAATTCATGTTCGTGGTAAGAAAGACACAACACACACCAATCCCAAACCTGCGGATCAATGGGATTGCAATCTTTTTGATCGACGTTGCGGAGGCTTGGTGACAGACGCCTTCTGTCTTCCCGGACGCCCCTTTTTCCGTTTCTTCTGCTCGGACTGCTTTTCTGGGGATTCGCGGTTTTGAGATGAGCGTGCCATGCTCTGGTGGAGGTTCCGGCTCGGAATTTGCCGCCTTCGCAGCTCTCCTCGTCGCTCGCCTTGTTGGAAGCTCTGTCAAAGTGAAACGAGGCTGTCCGTGACAGTCCACTGGGTTCTCACTCTTTACATTATTTTCCAGTTCTCTGCGCCTTCCTACTACCCTTCACCACAATGACGACTTATGTTTTTTACAGTACTGACGGCGCAATTAATAATTTCTTCAACTCGAACACTACTGTAACAAGACAGCAATGCGATGAATTCGCCGTTTCTCGCGCTGGCGGCGTGTCCACTGCTTTACAGATGCAAGGCCCATCGCATTCAACCCCTTTCTTTCAACTATGCTTTCCAGCACTAACTCAGAACGGAAATAAGGGCGTGACAAAGAAAAAGAACGGCTTCTCAGTGTCCACGGCGTCTGTTGCAACAGCTTCCCACGCAACCGGAACCATCGCAGGCCAGCCCCATGTCGTCGAGGTGGACTTAGTGCTACACGGTAAATACAAAATCAGCGAAATGGCTTTCAAATCCCTAGAAAGGGAGCAACTCACAGTGCACGAGGAGCAGGAGCAAGAGCCGCAGTTGCCACCGCAGCAGTTACAGGTGCAAGGTGTCATTTCGATGGAGTTATAGTGTTCAAAAGCGTCAGAAGAAAAGTCCGCGTTAATAGCCTTATTTAGGAGCAACACTGATTTTATTCTGGCGAAAAAAGGATTTCTCTGGTGAGAGCTAGGCTCATCAATTTATACGTTGCGAGTGGCCAGGGTGCCTGCTGAACCCCAGCATCTCCGGTAGAAATGACGTGAGACAGCGCACAGCGCCAGTCCGTTAGGTTATTTGCACACTCAGCTCCTTAGCCAGTACTCCGCTCATCACCAGGCTCTCGCATATCCGCTAACCAATTGTCTGCACAACACATCCAACACCATGGGCCTGAGCACAGGCGCTGCGGGTCGCACTGTCACAAGACGACGACGCTGGGATAACTATTGGCGAAAAGCTGCTGCAACGTAGTAGGTGAAGCTTAACTTCGACTGCTGCCATTGGTAGTTCGTATGAGCGGCACGATAACCCATTATCTAAGGGACACCAGGGCGGGCGGGTTGATTTATTTTGCCGCGCCTGCCAGGGACAAATCTTGCCCCGCAAGATGTTTGAGCGACATCAGTATCCCGTGACGCCAATAATGACCCACAGTAGAAAAAACAAGTAGGGTGAAGAAGGAACGGGATGTTATTCGCTTGAGAAAGGAAGGTCAGGCTCCGCAAACGTAGAGTGACTGACAGTCGGTAAACCAGCAAGCGGAGATCGGGCAGCTGAGTATGGAATCTTTTGATTTGACACCAACCCCCGGCTCAGCGAGGCATGGAGCATGGGAATAGGCGCTCTCGAAGGAGGAATAACCTGGACTTCCCCAGGGTGTGCAAGCCCTTTATATATCTGGGGCGTTGAGTACCCTGTGGTCATGCTCGTCAGAATCAATGATGTGCAGTTACACGTGCAGCTTAACATGCTGGTTACTGCATCCAACCCCCCCGATTTATTGTTCCTTTTATCTATCATTTAGGATAGATTAGTCTTCATTTGTTCGACTCAGTCTTTTCGCATAATTTCAAAATCTGTGTTAGGCCTGCTAACCTTTGAAATGATGTATTAGCAGGAATGATCAACTTTCCGTTTTACCAAGCAGGCCCTGACGCTTTGCGAGTTTTTGCCGACGGTCGCCCAGACCTTGGCTCCACAGGCCCTGCCCGAAGGAGTTGCTATGAAACCAGAGAAATTCTCTCGGATCAAAGCACTCCGCTCTACATCGCTGCTGTGGAACATATCAAGTAGAACATCACAAGGGTAAGGTAATAATTCATCCTGAGCGCCAAATGACTACCGTTTTCAGCTAGGAAATGGATCCTCGTCTCTGCCTACAAAAATTTCGTGGAATTCCAATGAGCAGTGTTTAGATATCAACAACAATATAACAACGAAGGAGAAAATGCTCTTACCGCTAGAAACCTCAATGTAGCCGTATTTTACTTCAGTATGGATGGCGTTAGGCACAACGACCCGGGTGACATTCCTTTGGACGAGGATATATGTCCTACGAGACGAAATATACTAACCATTTTGATTCAGCAGAAAATATTGTAAGATACCCTAGCAGGCCACGAGGGGAGTATCAATCTGCTGTTGGTCACGATGACAACCAGAGTGGTCAATTTGACAATCCGCTTCAAGCTGCTTAGCTCGAGGCCATAAAGAGATTGTTCAGCTACTGTTAGCGAAGGGCGCCAACGTCAATGTGCAGGGAGGCGAATATTGAAATGCACTTCAGGCGAGTTTATCAGGAGGCCATGAGGACATTGTAAGATCACTTCTGAAGAAAGTCGCTGAAGTCTATACGTAGGACGGAAAAGGCGCTTATTTTCCATAGCATGTATAAATCCCTAAACATTTCCTTTTTATGAAATATCCTTAGAAACATGTGCTTTTAATGGATCATGGGTCCAAAACTTTGGGCCATTCATGGGCCCTGATGAAGTCCACTCATAAGGTAAAGCAAACCTTGAGAAAAGGAGTCTGCTGCCAAAAACAAACCATCAGCCGAGCGAATGAAGCATTATTTAGCTGACATTCGAAATACATTGTTTCGAAGAGGAGCGATACAGCCAATAAATGAGTTGCGTATGGTTTTTGAATTTTAAGTCTAGACCTTATAATACCAACCAAGATTGTGAGGACACATGTAATGTCATGTATATCGCGATTGAATGCCTGATCTTTGAGGCTTGTCGCAGCCTCTCAGCTGCGCACTGATCGCATGTAAGAACGCATGGACAAGGGGGCCAGGGGCCTTATGTAAATACTCGCGGCACCTAGGTTTCAGGGGCCAGCGATCAGTCCTGGAAATATACTTAGTCGCACCCAAAATTCACCCGCGGGTCTCTGTTGCTCAGACTGGTAAAACAACCAACCCAAGGGTATTGTGAGGCATCTCTAACATCAGGCAGGCTTTTGTTCCCAAAACAATAACAATCGGCATATGCGTCTCCCCTGATTGTGGGCCCTGGGAGTCATTCCCTCGGCCGTCAGGCAGGCCTGACAGCACTCCCGCATAGGGCTGTATCTAACTCAAGCTACATCCGGTAAATGAATTATCGATCGCTCCCGAAGATCAAGCGAGATAAAAATTTCTTGTCCCGAGATGGTTCCGGTTGTCCAATGCACTTGCTTGGAATCCACTCAAGACCCACTAAATAGTAGCCACAGAACGACTAGATTGCAAATGCAATGGGGCAATCTTACCCAGGCCCAAGCCTCGATATGACTGTCCTCGATTTACTCCTACAAAACCCAAGATACAAATAACAGGGCCATACCTCCTCTTTATAGGCGGGAGTTCTTCAGTTTTGTATCTTAGCTATGTTGGAGCTGAATTATCGTGTTCTTATTGCAATAGAGAGGCGTGGTCTTTACTTCATTTGATGTGGCCAAAATCCAATGCCGTCTGTCAACTGCGCGGTTATTCGCCTCCGGCCCACAGATGGATCTAGGTTCTATTTCATTTGCACCAATCAATTGGATCGGCTTGCAAAGCAAAAGGACCCAGACCGATTTCGGGCTGAGCCGTAGAGACAAGCCTTTTCATCTGATCCACTATTCCTCTGTGCGTGTTTCGAAAAGAAAACATCCCACCTACCCACAATACTACTGTATTTTAATTTCCGCACCAATCAGGAAGGTCTGTTGGAGGTGAGATCCCTGTATACACTAGTACCGAATGCACCCAATGATGCCGAATCAGAGGTCGCGAATGTCTCATTATGAAGCTGTCTCGATTGCGGAAATAGTTGAAAAATAATGGAATTGATATTTTGGATTCGGGTGTGAGGGTCTCACGTATACATAGAGGTGAATGATCAATACCAAGAACAGCTATTATTGACTATAGATTCAGGGTGTATCGCGAGGAAGCAAATGAAAGGCGATTCCTCGCGTTCAGGGGAACCCAGACAAGATATGTGGGTCCGTTTCACCGTTTGTCCTCCGCTCCTCGTGGCTCATCGTGCAAGCCTCATGTATACTCGTGACATTGGATTGAAAAAAGTTTACGGAGTACCAATACCCGAAGTGGTGTTGGTGCAGCCAATTTGGGGGACATGATTAGGTTTTTCATGGAAAATTTCTTTTGCACGGCTCAGCCCGACAGAATAGGTAAGTCGCTGCCCCCAAGGTACTCACGGGGGCCGGTATAATTTAACCAACCGGGTCTATCCTATGCCCATCATCTTCGCCATCCACCTGTTTATTCAAGCAATAATGTCTTCCTCATTTGATCCTAATAACGTGAATTTGAGTTCAGTGGACTTCGCTCAAGTGGTTTGCTGGAATCAGCTCGGGGGAAATGAGTACGATGGCATGCTTGGTGCTCGCATTTCTTCCATCTTTGTTATCTTTGTCATCTCGACAGCGGTTACCTTCTTCCCTGTGGCCGCGAAACGAGTCCCGCGGCTGAAGATTCCCCTCTATGTCTATCTGTTCGCTCGTTACTTCGGCACTGGTGTGATCATTGCCACAGCATTTGTTCATTTGTTGGATCCTGCCTACGAAGAGATTGGTCCTGCCAGTTGTGTTGGAATGACGGGCAACTGGGCGCAGTACTCTTGGCCCCCTGCCATTACACTGACGTCGATCGTCTTTGTGTTCCTCATGGACTTTGGCGCACAGTTATATGTTGAGACCAAGTATGGACCCGTGGAAGAAGACCCAAGAGCTAGTATTGTTCAAGAGACGCACGAACATCAACCCTCCGAGGAAGTTCTAACTACGACCATCGAGACGAAGAAGGACTCGGCATGGGACAGTCAAGACTTTAAAGACTCTGCGGCAGCGGAGAGATCGTTCCAGCAACAGATATCTGCCCTCCTCATTCTTGAATTCGGTGTCATTTTCCATTCGGTGATCATCGGCCTGAATCTTGGAGTTGTCGGCGACGAGTTCAAAACTTTGTACCCCGTCCTTGTGTTCCACCAGAGCTTCGAAGGATTGGGTATTGGTGCCAGAATGTCCGCTATTCCTTTTAAGCGAAACAGCTGGCTTCCTTGGATCCTATGCATGATGTACGGTTTAACCACGCCCATTTCCATCGCAATTGGACTCGGCCTGCGAACAACATACAATCCCAATTCGATCACAGCGAACATAGTGTCTGGCGTCCTCGACTCGATCTCCGCCGGTATCCTGATCTACACCGGGCTTGTTGAACTGCTAGCTCGGGACTTTTTGTTCGATCCTTGCCGCACGAACAACAGGACCCGTTTGGCATTTATGACTATATGCACAATTCTCGGCGCTGGTATCATGGCACTTGTCGGGAAGTGGGCATAGACTTTCGTCATTACCTCGACGCTGGTGACAAAATCCACGAAATTCCCAGACGGCATACAAACGATCAAAGGAAGACTAGTAAATTGGTATACTTAGTCTCTCTTAAATGCTCCATCCGCCAGCGCCTTTCTCATGGGACCGCGGTTTTCCACGGTTCTCTCGCTTAGGGCTAGCCCTTCTAGGAGTCCAGCATTTCCCTGTGGCGGGCCACGGTTTTCTATTTCTTACAAGAACCTGTGCTTGTTGTTAGC